AAATGTGTACTACTCCCATAAACTACAGATACGTTTAACTTCGTTTAGTGTAACGAGCTTTTTGATGGTGTCTAAAAATTGTTGTTTATTTTACTTAGGTTATGATAATTAAACCGTTGAGACCTCAATGTCATTTCCTATGTTACAAAGACAGTTCTTTGACATATGTTAAATAAAAATGTGAACTACAGTAGTCGACGAATCGTGTCACTTATTTCAACACTTAATGATACAAAGTGTTGAAATAAATGACACGATCGTTCATCGACCTTATTGGCTCCGATGGACCAATTAGTGCTGTGTCCTCTCGATAATTGGTGTGATATCATCAGTGCTACATATATCTGACTTATTAATCTAATTTTGCTATCATTAACACAGTTCCATATACACGGATTGGCCCATGGTTCTTAGGGTTAATTTTGCCTTTATTTCTTTAATAGATGTTTTAGTTAATTTAGAGTAATAAAAGAACATAATGTTAACAAATTCATACAATTATACATTTAATTTCTTTATTCTACAATTATAACAATATGTTACTGTTTTTAGGTAAATAATGAGTATTGTAACTTCGTCCGTACCGAGAGATTTAAGGCATTATTTAAAATGGCGTTAAGCGCTAGAAAGTTTGCGTTCGAAACCAGTAAAATCAATAAAAAGGCAGAGAATAGAAGTTAAATCGACTTGCCTGTAAATAAAATCTGTGGACACGGTGTGTGTGCCACAGGGAATCCCTTTTTACCTTTCCCATTATTGGCTTATTTCACTCTCTATTCTATACAATGAAAACTTTTATTAACTACTTATAAGCGCGTAAACGCTTCCATATATATATTATTAGTAAGTATAGAATAAAATGTACATTTTACTGCTAAGGCTTATCATGTGAAATATGCGCTGAAAAGCAAATATCCAGAAATAGGGTTGTACAATCGTATAGCCATTACTCAGTGGGGCGAGGCGTGCATTTATTACACGTATTTGTTGCATTGTATGAATAATATTTGTTTCGGAGTTCGTGGAGGGAGGCAGGGGGTCCCTAACTGGCCGAATTCGAATATTCAGATGTATTCAGATATATCTAATATTAGATTCATCTGATTTAAAATAAGGATGCCTAAAGTTATTACTGGTTATTTTAACTAAGTATTTCTGCTTAATTAAATACTCTCTATAGTTCACGCGAGTAGTACACATTTAAATAAAACACGTTAACGTCTCCCCGTGACCACGGCTGCTGCAAAGCATCCGAAACGTCGGGCCGAAGTTAAAAATAATTTTCAAATAAGTTTAACTAATATATCCCGTTTTAAACCGTTAGAGTGTTTTATTTAAATAAGTATTTCTGGTTAAAACCTTTTAATCAAATTTTCAACAGTAGATGCGGTATACTTATTTCATTGCTTCCTAAAGTATGGCACCTGCAAAAAAATATAAAACGTCAAGTCGTAGTAAAAAAGTGATCGCGTTTTAAACTGTATTTTTTTATTTAGATTGGTAAATTATTTGAAACTTAGAGACGAGGAAGTCACGGTACATATAATCCATCATCTCATTCTGCCTAAGTACACCTACTTCGATATTCATAACTTTTGCGTCACTTGAACTGCGTTGAAACATAATAATCCGATACAGTATCAGGATATACGACTGTTATTTATGTTCTTACGGAAGATTTACATAACAACGAACCACATAATATCTATAATCAGATTTAGCTGTACTTGTACTAAAGTTGTAACATAACAATGGACTAATTTGAGGGAACAGTGTTGTTACAGTTACCAAAACAACCGATCTTCAACTGTCTTAATTCCCTATTATTATAACAGAAGATGAAAGATTTTGATAAAATCTCATTTCTAACTAATAAATTACACCTTTTTTTCTACCGAGACTTTCACACTTGATAATAAAAATAATTCATAAGATAATTGGCCTAAAATTACTTATATTAATACTTAAAATATATACTATAATATATAAAGCTGAATAGTTTGTTAAGTGTTTGTTTGAACGCGCTAATTTCAGAAACTATGGGTTCTAATTGAAAAATTATATAATATGTATATATTTTTGCATTGGTTAGAGCATTTTCTCGAGGAAGGCTATGAAACATCGCGCTGTGACTAATAGAAGCGAAAATTCAGCTGGAAATGTGAACAACGCGGGGGAATTTTTTTATCTCTGTGGAATTCAGATGCGTACGCTGCGAAAACGGTTCAAGATACCTAAAAATTGAGTAGAGAAGGATGATTCCTCTTTAAATGATCTAAAAAGTCCACGACGCTATATGTCTATCTTATAAGATTAACTTGTAATAACGACGGGTAGGAACGCGATCGACGTCGTGGCTAACAGCTTTAAAAACTATTAAGTTTATAAAGATCACGGGGATTGCAAACACTAATTTGGCTGCCCAAAATAACGATTCTCGCGGACAAAGTCGCTGGCACAGCTAGTACTATATAAACAGTGTTTAAAATACTAATGTATATGGATTTGTCAATGATTCGGTAGGAACAGGAAGTTCTATAATTTATTAAGGCGGTGCGTAATAATCGAAGTAGATATGGATCTAACTCGAAGCTTCCTTCATTATTAAAAGATAATTAATTATTTCACGTTCTAGAGTTGCTTTCTAAATCAAATTAAATTATTCAATTTATAATAATATTGGAAAGAAAAACTAGTATATATATTGTGGAATCAAGTTGGCACCGAAAGGGATAATGGTTGTAAAACGCTGGAATTAGTTAAGCCTTCAACCCAGTTGTCAGTTCACGGATTAGTTTAAGTTGGCGTGAAAATGTACGCTACTAGCTTTTGGGGCCCTTGAACTGAAACACTTTTCTTTTATTTAAAAGTAAAGCTATGGATTGGATTTAGCTCAAAGTACTAATCTAAGATTAGCACAGCATTCCGATATTTTGATACATAGAGAAGGACGGACAAGCATAGAGTTCACTCGATGGAAGGTTACGCTGTCGACCTATTTTGGCTTTGGATACTCGGAAAACCAAAGACTGAAGCGGAAACGCGATTACACTTCACCTTTTTTTCATCTGTAAACGGTAATTCGTGACCTGAACGGGATTTCGATGCCGCCCATTTCATATCAAATTTAATGGCCGGCATGTTACTGACCCGGACCCGCTAGTTATTAGTCGTACAAGGACCAACAAGTCCGTCTGTAAATATTTGTTTATTTGTAAGCACTTAATTGAACCATAGTATATCAACTTTCATTCCTTTAAACTAATGCATTTTATACATTTTGTACATTATTAAGGCACTTCTGTTTGCTGCATGTCGCCAATACGCCCCTGCGATCGTCAGCCGAGCCGGTCGAGATAAAATTAGACCGGGCGAAACCCGATTAATATGTAACGAGCTTTGCCTAGACATTTACACAGATTTAATAAAATATTATTGTTTTATGTGGCGAAATATGCGGATTAAAATATTTTCATTTACTTTAGGTTAACAAATTGGATTTGTTAATTGTAAAGGTAAATAATGTTTTTTTTTCATTTAGTTTAAAATAAACCACATTACAGTACGTAGTATCTTTGTGGTTTTACAAAAATCTGCTGTTATCTGCGTTTTTAAAGTTATTTTTCTTCTCTTTCTGTATTGCGCTCCGTTTTCTCACTAACACATTTCCTTGTAAACGACAAGTAGTTTAAATGATTATATAAATATATTTCTCATTAAAGTTATACATAAGTTACATATATATAAGTTTTCTTAAGTAAATTCAGATCTCTGGTAAAAGTTAAAGCTTTTTTGCCTGGTGTAATTAAGTAAGCTTAAATTTTTTAACTCGATTACATTAGACTCGCCTCAAAGAAAACCACTGTACACGTAGAGCGTATTGCCGGTATAATAAATTGCATTATAACAGGGACTGTTGGCGGCACAAAAATGTAAAACGAGTGCAAATCTGGAAGAGAAAGAGAGAATAAGAGCGGCACTGTGGACCGTTCTGAATTGTTAAGTAGCCTAATGAATAAATTAGATGCAGCCGCTGAATATTAACTCTACTTCGTTTGCACTTCTCGCTGGCTCACTGTCTCTGTGGTCTTTTTATCTGGTACATCCAAAGTATTTAGATTTATAAACTACCGTGAACTAATGAACAGATGGATGGATCACAAATTGATTTTAAAGTAAACTAGTGATTATTTAATTTCTAATTTGGCGGTAGTTATAAAAAATATGAAAGGATGGCCTCACGTTACCTAACGCCTGGGATCCCTTATTATATAACTCTGGATTTCAAAAAACAGCATACCGGCAATCACGAAGACACCTTTAGTCAATTCGGCAAGGACTCTGCCAGTTTTGTCAAATACCAACGACGACGTAACAGATGGCGCTAGCGTAACAGTTTTTACTTTCCTCTTTGCTCCATCTCTAGTCTCATCGTGACCACGGCTGCTGCATAGCTTCGGACCGGAGTTAAAATAATTTCCAAATATTTTTAAACCGTTAAATGTTTTATTTAAATGTTTTATTTAAATGTGTACTACTCGCCTAAACTACAAACGGTATTAAAAAAGTAGTGTTATTTTTGAAGATGTTTAATCCTTGATGCTGAGTATAACAATATTTGACCAGAAATTAACGTTATTTAAACTAACTATACTATAGATTAATATCATTTTAAAACGAAGATATGGTACGAGAGTTAGAAGTTCAATTTGTAGTGAACATATCTTAATAAATAAATAGTACTTTCCGCTATAAAATATTTAGTATTCAATACAGCGGATGCAATACATTTGCTAGTACGTGGTGGAGCCACTAGCGTCCTTTTAAATATTCAGGCTTCCGCCGGTCTGAAAGGGTAGATACAACCTGAGAAACCGCTGGATTTAGTAGATACATCTAAGCTGGAATTATGGAAAAGTTAGCTTATTTTCGTGCGCTGATCGTATATAATTTGGTTATTTCATTAAAATTCTACTAACTTAGTATTTTTTTTGATACAGACACTCGGCTGTCGATGTGGTGGGTGAAGTAAAAAGGGACCAAAGATGGCAACCATCGAACAGCGACAGGTAATCAATCAACTAATACAGAGTAGCATAGTAATTACAAAAAATATACAAATTTTTGATCTTAAAAACACTAGCCTTATAACATACTAGTGCTGTCAGCGACCGCATTGAATAGTTATTTCGGCCATTTAAAAATTTAAATGGGTAACAGTCCACGACGTCTGTTTAGTCCCGTCGTTCTTGCAAGTTAATCTTAGAAGATATAGTGCAATTTTTTGTGTATACGCAATTTTTTAGATCATTTAAGAAGAAATTTTTTGGTATCTTGAATCGTTTTCGCAGCGCCTAGTCACAGCGCGATGTTTTTCAGACTTTCTCGATAACTGCTCTTATTAACACAAAAAATATTTAACACAATTTAAACCTTGTTTAAACAAACAGCTTTATATGTATATTAGTATAGATGTCTATTAAAATGGACCACCAAAGCTATGTTTTTAATTGTTTTTATCTTTCAATTTAAATTCATAATAATGTAAGGTAATATACACATCACAGATTATCTGCCTACCCAACCGGTGACCGATCGAACCTTCTTCGGTCTCATGCAGCAAAATCCGCGGAGTGCAGCCAAGGCTCTCCACGGGCGAGACGAGTGCCCAGGGAGTCGCGGAGAGTGTCGCTCGCGCAGGCTCCGGGCTATGTTCAGCTCAACCAGTATCGTCTGCTGGAGCCCATTGGACAGGTGAGAAAATAATGTGAACACATAGGAATTAATGATACTATCGGTCGAAAAAATTCGACGATGACGTGTAGGTCACTGTAGCTCAATTGGACCACGTCACGGAACGGTCGGGATGCCGGTTCACGTCCCACCCGTGTCGTAAAGTGTTTAATCTAAATAGATTTTTAATTTTGAATTAATAGTTCATATACATGGTAAATTGATTTCTAGGGTTCGTATGGAATCGTCAAGTTAGCGTATAATGAAGAAGATGACACGCACTATGTAAGTATATTTGCTGTCGTACCCTTATGTCACACACACAGGCACAGAAGTGGAGTTTGAGAACTTCACTTCGCCATGGTTCTTCAATTCACGTCACTAAATTAGAGACGATTACCGGAACCGCCATACTAATTCGAAAAAAAATCTTCGAAAAATTCTAAATACTTCGTCTCGCCGAAGATTTTAACCCGGGAACTTGTGATAAATGGTTTGTACATAAACTCCTTTTGTATTCGTTAATCGTAAAGAACACCACAGTTTGTAGAAGTTTTTTCATTTTTCTCCTTTAAAAAAGGGACTTTTTTTTTTTTTCCCCCTTTTTTTTTTTTTTTTTTTTTTTTCCCCCCCCCCCCCCCCCCAAATTTTTTTTCATTTAAAAATTTTATTTTTTTTTTTTTTTTTTTGGTTTTTTTTTTTTTTTTTTTTTTTTTTTTTTTTTTTTTTTTTTTTATATATAATGTTCTTTCATGCCCGAATTGCTAGCTAATAAAATACTGATACATACAACAGGCAATGAAAATTCTGTCAAAACGGAAACTCATGCGCCGCGCCGGCCTCTTCGGCAGGGCACCGCCGCGCCGACCAGGCCCCGGGCCTCCTCCGGACCCGTTGCAGAGCATCTACAGGGAAATCGCCGTGTTGAAGAAGCTAGACCATCCGAATGTAGTTAAACTAGTTGAGGTACGCCCACGTTGATATAAACTACAATGTTACCATACTTTTATTAATTTTCACGATTTTCACAAAAGTTACACTTTATATTTTTCACTCTAAAATTTCGCTGTTTAATTCGTGAAATATGTTATTATCAATCAGTTTATAATTACGACTCCACGTTCGGCAGCCGTGGTCGCGGGGGATCCAAATATTTTAAGTTTTAACTGTAAAAACTAATTTTAACTGTACTTTATCTTTGTGTATATTTCAGGTAAATTGCCGAATATAAATATTAATTTATTCTTATCAATTCGAAAAGGATATAAAATAAAATGACGTAGGTCGTTGCGAGCATCGCCTATACGAATTCCCTTCGCTAAAACAACGATCTCGTTAATTGGCATCACTTATCACACAAAATGTAATAGAACCGCCGTTATAATCACAAACTGTCATCAATAACAATAATAAGGAATGGATGGCAACCTCGATCCACGCTCGGCACGATACCGTATAGGTCTCCCGGGAAATTAGGAGGCAGAATATAATATCGTTTCTGAATACGAGTGATAATTTAATCATATTTTGTGAGTTATTCAGCATACGAATAAAACATGTTACACGGTATAGCAAATTGGAGAGAGGTCCAATGGTAGAAATGCACGTAGTGGGTTCGTTTTCCGCCGAGTCAAACAAAGTTAAATTTATAATAATTATATGAGGTGTTAGGAATATCACGTCGCGGCGTCCATAAATGGAGAAACGATTTCAATCTATCAATTCTCAAAATATGTTTAAACCAAAAATCGGACACTTATTGTTAATTGTCATTAAAAGCACATTAATTGAATAATTCTACTAGTAATTGTCATACTGATATTGATAGCTTAACGTTAGTATTCAAATAAAAGATATTTATTACTTTTGAGTGTACAAACTGCGCCTTGCTCTAGAGCAAGACTGTGTTTTGTGTAATCTCCTTAGGTATACATACATAATATTTTATATTATACGACAATAATTAAGATCTGTACTTACACGAACGCATTATGCTAAATCGAAAGGTCATTTCACTTCGAAAACTTATTTTAGTTTTACATTTTATTTACAACATAAAATACTTTCTGCAGACTGCATTTTTACTTGAAAAGTTTCAAAGTTCAGTCTTATCGTCGTAGACAACAGTAACTTGTAACAACTTACGGAAGTTAACTTTTGTTTTATGGTTGTCAGGTTTGATGCAATATAAGAAAATCATACAAAACAACGAAAAAAGCTTTTTTATGATATGGATAGACTAGCGTGGGATTCGCTCGATGAAAGCTTAAATTCCACAGTCATGACTTTCAAACAAGATGCGCTATCGACCTACGTTGGCTTTGGATATTTGGAAATCCACAAGCTGAAACCGAAACGCAATTAAACTTCTCGCCTTTTCCCTGTGAATGGTAGTTCGTGAATCGGACGGAACTTCGATATTCTCACCGACCATTTAATATCTAGATTTAATATTTAGAAGAATCTAGAAAAATTATAATTTGATTAGAAACGTGGTGGTCCTGGTGGGAATCGAACCCATGAGCCGTCAACTGTTAGTTTATACCCCGTGTTGTATATTATTTTCCATCCAGCCTGTGCCATACTTACTCTGTTTAAACATTTAGTACCAATAATGATGTGCGAGAAGTAAAAGCAATATGTACACGAAGCATTATTATATTTCAGGCAAACAGGATTAATGATACCACGAATTATATTTAACATTTATTCGTGCGACCGAAATTAATAATCATAATATTCCATGAATAAATTTTGTGAAACAGATCAAACCGGGGTTAGATTAAAGTTTTTACTTGTAGTAGGATTAACGGATTACGAAACAGACTTATATTTAATAATAATAAGAGTGTATTATGTGAGTAAAATCCATTTGGCCATATAAATTAGGGCAGCATTATTGTGTCTTTGCGACTTACAAACAAAGAATAACTAAGAAGATATAGGTACATATACTCATAGAATCTGAACATTAGTGTTTTAAAATGACATTAACGCATTTGACATTGATACAAATAACAATATTTGATTGAGAACATTCCACTACCTTAATGTAGCGTGTCATTAGCAACTAACCTATAAATTTGAATACGATAATCTATCAAATTAATGTCTTAATGCTTAAACTTTACAGGTGTTAGACGATCCAGCAGAGGACCAGTTATACTTAGTATTTCAGCTTTTGGAAGGTGGACCCGTCATTGATATACCCTCAGACAACCCACTGACTGAGGAAGTGGCCAGGAAGTACTTTAGAGATGCTCTGCTAGGAGTTGAGTATCGTAAGTACTATTTATTACATACCTAAGGTCAATAACATTAAATTCAAGAAAGCCTTAGTATAAACAACCTTAACTTTACGACCTCAATCACTATGACTTCAAAAGTTATACTTATTTGTTAGAAGCATGAATCTGTACAATAAAGAAGAGGGAATACATAAACGACGTTGTCATTCGATATTGATACTAGTAAACATCGTATATGATCGAAAGATAAAAAAATATTTTCTTGAAAATATCTGTTGGAGAAGGACCTTCGTATTGATTTTTTTATTAATCTTATTGCATGTTGGAAACGCTGCAGCCATTAAGAAACCCATCATAAAAATACACCATAACATAAATAAGCTATAAACATCAGTTCTTCTTCGGCCGATAACGATAAGAAGTAATAACTTGCGAAATAACATCCTTGGCCAATGGCGTCTGTTTACTTAATATTTCATTAGATGTAGTACATTGAAGCAAATCGAAATAAATTAATTGGGGCATGATGTAATAACAGAGGCGGAGCTAAATATAATGGTAACACAAAACTACATGAATATTCACGATAGTCACAAACAAAACTATTCATAACTTAGTTTTGAATAATTTTCACTTGAGCTTCGATCGCTGACAACGAATATTAGTCTAGAGAGAATTATACTCATGCTTTGATCATAAATGAAAGAAATAATTTTACTTCTTATTTCCAATTTAAAATAAATTGGCTGGAATAGCTCGCGTTTTAAAAGTCTATTCCATATAAATGTTAATTCACCGCTAAATTGATAAATATACATTGATAAATATTTTTTTTTTGTTTTATGTATTTTCAATTTACCTAAAGTAGTCGCCAACAAATCACCACTTAAAACCCCCAATCAGGTTGGTAATTTAATTTTTCTAGGTAAATTTTTTGAAATTTTCTTTGATGAAAAACCCCCCCCCCCCGGCCCGCCCCCCCCCCCCCTTTTTTTTTGTTTTTCCCCCCCCCCCCCCCAAAACCCCCCCCCCCCCCCCCCCCTGGGGTGCTGGTGGACGTGGTGGAGCCGAGCCCTTCAATCCCATTTCTAAGCTTTAACAAAGCAAAAACGGAATGTATCGATAAACCCTTTAACATTTAAGTTTAATCATGCGAATAACTCAAACGTTTTCCCTTACGCAATTATTTTTAGATACAGCCTTCGATTCAAACAGAAATAGAAATAACTTGAGCGAAGGTTGCCTCAACGGAAGAGGTCACTTCATTCTAATTGATGCTACGGTTATCCTATAGAGCATTAGCGGAATAATTTATTGAGGCTATTTGTTTAAATACCAGATGATTCATTCCAACAGCAAACTTAAGCCGAGCCGGTATAAGTTGGATATAATACTTGGAAAGTAATCATTTGGCTAACTTGTTTGAAACGCGTTTGCTAATATAAAATATACATATATGACACATGTTAACATAGTGATGTAAACATCCTAAATAATAGATATAAGAGATTATGTGAGAATAGCTCTCCTCTCTTTTATCTATATATGAGATTGATGATTACACAAATGACGGGTTCTAGTAGTAATAATGTATGGCTAATGATTAAAAGAAAAAATAAAAAAGCTTTTTATTATATTTTACATGTTTTACATTCCGGTTACAATTTATTCATATTTGTCAAATGTTGTTTATGTCGGGCCGCATGCGGTAGCCCCCTCCATACGCTTCCACTCCGTTCTGTTTGAAGCGCTTCGTTCCCAGAATATGCCTGCAGTTTCCTTATATTCGTCTGCCACCTCCTGGACGGTCTACCTTGTTCCCTTTTTATGCCTAATGGAGTCCAACTTGTGATAACCTGGGACCTGGGACTGGATGGCTAATGATTAACGCGTCTTAAATTCGATCCCCACCGGGTCCAACATAGTTCTAACAAATTTATAATTTTGCTGAATCGTCTTAGACTTTGTTTGGAAATCTAGATATTGAATTGGTCGTAAGAATATCGAAATCTCGTTCCGGTCAGCGGGATTTCCGAATATCTAAGGCCAAAATAAGTTGACAGCGTATCTTAATTAAATGTTCTATGAAGGCGGTGTTTTACATACCATCAAGCTAGTCGGTCCTCCTCTATTAAAAAAATAACAATAATTTTCTGCAATGTTACCCCATTATTAACACATTTATAAAGTTACAGATACAATCAAAATTAGAGCATATATGTGCTGAAATATTCACATGTTATTTCATTTTGACAGCCTGTGGATATTTTTATTACGGTCGTTTTGATCTTTTGGTGAAGCTGATCTTGATTATTCAGTGCACTACCAGCGGATAGCACACCGGGACATCAAGCCAGCGAACTTGTTGCTCGGCGAAGACCGAGTCCAGGTGGCAGACTTAGGTGCCTGCGGGGAACTCGCTGGAGCGGGCAAACTCTCAGGTGCCGTGGGAACACCAGCCTTCCGTGCACCAGAAGCTACGACATTGTCTGATAAATATATTGGCGAAGTATGTACTACAACTAGGAATATTTAAATGATTTCTTACTCATTATGTTTTACTATATTTTTGGGGATTCAAATCCAACATATGCCAATCGCAATACAGTATTTATATTCTTTCAACTAAGCTGTATGTTGATTACGGGAACATATATAACAAGGGATAGAGATATTCAGAAATGTTTAATTCGTAAAACGTTCATCGATTTCAAACGCGAATTATACTACTGTATTTATTATTTTATCCGATCTGCCATTTCGGTCGCTTTACAGCAGCCGTGTTCAAGAAAAGATTCGTGTCTCGAGCTGTAAATAGAATAAAATTGGGATATACGTTGCTCAAATCGACCCCTCTAACTTGTACAGTTGTATAGTAGATTCACTTTACGTTTTTTAAAAGTATTAAAAACTTGCTTAACATTTCCAGGCAGCAGATATTTGGTCGCTCGGTGTGACTCTCTATGCTATGGTAACTGGTCGTGTACCGTGGACAGCTCCCTCAGCAGCTGAGTTACAGAAACGGATCCTAACCGAACCCTTAGTCTTCCCACCTCGTCCACCTTTGTCACGGAATCTGAAGAAGTTGCTGTCCAGGATGCTCGACAAAGATCCAGTTACAAGAGCAACCATGCAGGATATTAAGGTAAGATGAGGAATAAGCGCGTAAAAAAAAAAACAAACAAAAAACCTAAAAAAGTAAACTAAACACGTATGCCAGATATTACCATCCTTTATCTACCTTTCAGGAACACGAATGGATAACCTTAGGTGGTAAAGAGCCTCTACCCTCGGAACAAGAGAACTGTAGACTGGTGGAGATAACAGACGAGGATGTGGCGAAAGTTGTCACCTCTATTCCCAATATCTCAACGCTGATACTCATCAAAACTATGCTTAAGAAGCACAGCTTTCAGGTTAAATGCAATATAACATATCTTTAGTCTTCTTTTATTAGTACAGTTTCAACCTTTACATGTTAGTTTTATTATTACCCTCCCAATCTAAATAAAGACCTTTATATTTGACATAAAAGGTGTTTGAGTAAATATTGGTTTATTTTACAGAACCCATTCCTCCGCAGTCGCGAAGGCAGTTCTCGAAGGGAGTCCAGCGACGCAGGAGTAGCCGGGCTTCCTGGCCAGTTGGGAGGAAACGCAGAGTGCTGCTTGGGGAGAGGCAAACGGACTTCACTGTCGAGAGCTGGCAGATCGCTATCTGCACCGGGAAACTATCTCACTGAAAAGTTGGTTCTTTTTTTATGCACTAAATTGTTAGATCTTTTGATACTAAAACGTACAGTTCACAGCATTATTGCAGCTACTAACATCAAGTATACATACAAGTTAGGTAATATTTTGTAATTTATTGCTAGTTATTACAATAAGTATTAATTTTTATACCTTTAATAAATCACCGAGTCTAGAGATTATCTTCTAATAAATTTTCGCAGAAGAAAATAAACAGTCAAACAAGCACAGCAAATAATAACATGTCATACAATTTAATTAGTTAAGGTGAAGGTTAAGCATTTTTTAATTATGTTTCCTTTTACAGGCAAGTATCATTTGATATCAATTTAGAATCCGTCGAAGAAGCCAAAGAGAAAAGTGAAACGACAAACAAAATCCCTTCAAAAGTGTGTAAGGACAGCAAAGAAAACGGACAAGAGAAAAACGCACCGCAACGGTGACGCGCAAATGTTAATACGTAGTTTTAAGATTCGACTCAATTTTTATCTTATATTATAAATATTACTTACTTCTATTAAATAGCTTTTTTATAAAAGATAAGGATTCAGAATACACTATTTTTAAACCCTAGTAACTTGAAACGAGTTGTAATACGTAGGTAGGTATTTTCTTTCTATAATCTATATTTCCATTATTTATTGTCTATGCTTTCGTGCTAGTTAAGCTGTTTTGTCTTAGTCACACCCTAAGCGCGTCGCGTCGCAGTTGCAAAAACCTAAGTTCGTGTTTAGATATTTTTATGTATCTCCACAAATTACGGTACGCTCGTCCGCGACGCTTAAATAACGGTGAAAGTGAATTTGATTCTACCCTTTATTGTTTTTCCCGATCTTATTCATTCTTTCCATTCATAATTCTGGCTCGTCCAGTTATTCTTGGTTGTGATTGATTAGATTGTAATCAAAATGTTTACGTCTATATATAATATACCTATAGAAGATATGTGTACGTTACAAAATAATGTTCAGGTACGTATTTTTTTGTTTTTTAATATCGCTGTCAGATTGTCAGACATTATTCAAATAGCCCTAATATTTCAATTGTCAATTAAGCTTTTATGATAAAAATTCGTATTTACTAAAATAAGCTTCATCGTTAGATATTTCAATTACACTCATATTTAAAAAAGATATGCATACTAAGATCCAATTAAATTCTAACACTATAAAAATTACGCACTGATTACGCATAAGTCTTTTAAAATCTATATTTCTAGTTATAGGAATTAGAATATAGGCCATAGGTGATCTTTTCCAATCCAATAAAACATAGTATAAAAATAATAGCTAACAGCCAGTTGACTTACAAATAAAAGAAACAGATAACAATAATCTTCTAACAGATAAAAAAATATTTTATAACATACCAGTATTTTTTAAAGAGGTAAAAGTTGTTTTAAATTTCTTAACTTATTATCTATATATCATATATCTATATATTAGAATTGCCAGTTGAAATAAATGAAATAAAACAAACAATGAAAATTATTGTACTTATCAAAAATCATTTAAGTTCTCATGTAGTATAGTTTAGTTCTGAAAAGAATCGGTTACTGTATATAAACTCTGAACAACATCGAATACACTGCCCTCATTAATATTGTACTAGTCTTTGACCATTTACACGAAAAGTAAGGATGTACTTTACACAGAAAATTGAAAAAATAAATGACCAAGTTTTACTACTTAATTATGTTAAAATTGTTCTAATTTCGTTATTAATAAAAATTGTTATGAAAACATAATATATTATGTAGGATCAATAAAAATTAAACATAAATATATTTTAAGACGAAAACCAAGGCACTGTTTTGTTAAGTTTAAGTTTAAGTTTTTTTCAACTTTACGTGTTATAGTGGGTTGGAAACGTAAAAACAATATATTTTTTCAATGCTGTCATAGCTCTAATTTTTTTTAAAAACAGTGCAGTTTCTGATTATTATTTATGACATAATTATAATATTATAATATCCCTTGTGGCACCTTTACTTAGTTACAGCTGAGATTATTAAATTACACTTTTTTTTTGTTTCCAAAAAGGACATTTTTGTTTTAATTTTTTACACAACATTTTTAACCTAAATTATAGTAATAAGCAGCCAATTAACGATGTCTAAGATTGACATCTTAGATTTACGAAAATTATTCGTTTACTGATGACTCGTTCTAAAAAGAAAGCTTGCTTACCAAAAAGCTTTTGCTACAAAAATCCATCAGATATCGGAGATTCGGATTATTGATTATTGAACGGTCGATCCGTTAGACAGATATATAAAAGCAGTTTAAAATAAATCTTATGTCTAATTTTATATATCAATTGATTTCTCTAATATACTTACACTATAATTGAGATTAAAATTGTCCTCTGTAGTATGCGATATTGTAAGAATGACGTCGCCACAATTGTCCAGCTTAGATTTAGTTTCGCATATTATTCCTTGGCAAGCGAAAGGTCCAATTATAGCCTTTAAATGTTGTGATAGTTGTATAGCGCTTATGTAACATTCCATTGAATTGTATTATGCCTAAATCGACGAATTACCAACACCATGTTTCATGTAGAGCTGTTGCCTATATCATTAATGGATGCTGGGACGACATACAAGGCAAAAGGCGTGCCATCTTTCTCTATGCACTATCTACTTTTTATGCGGAAGTATCGTAAGATAATTTAAAGAAATTATAGGAATTTCCATTTCAAAATTAAATAGGGTTTTCTTTACAACAACGATGTTAGACGATACGATAATACTGGCCGTTTACGAACAAAGGCGGGTTTTTGTATTGCACACCACTCCAATATATATATATTAACTACTTAATTATTATTTATTCATCAACACGCAAACTAAAGTGGGGTAAATTTCCTGAAATGAGAAATATTTTTGCTTTCTTAAATTTACTCCTTACTTATGCCGTTAATAAATAACAAGATGTTTAGTCGTTAAGGCAACATTGGATGTTAAGACAATAAGTTCATGATTCGAAAGAATGAAGATAGATTTTTAATGCATACCATGTTGGTACTGATTGTTTTGAATGTATTTTAGTTATCTAGTGCTGTCCGTAGTGTTAAAACTGGTCGCTCAAAACAAAAAAAAAACATAATGTTGCGATTACAGGCGGACAATGACATTAAATGTTAAAATTAAGCGGCCATATGGATACTATAGTGTGTATTATTTTAGACAATACGTTACAATTGCTTTTGGTACTTATTTATTACAACAAAAGGTGTTGGTGGTTTAGTCAAAACGCATATTTCGATAGTAATTAAAGAATTATGTAAATAACGAATAAAAAGTTTTATTATTGTACTTATCGATTTTGTTATTTAAATTTTATGAAGTCAATATTAAATACCTTTTTGACTTAAATAATGAACTTCGTTTCTTATTAAATTTTATTTTTTACAGATCTCCATTTCTTTTAAAAATTTTGAATACACTATTACTTATTATGTTATATAAATACAAATTTTTTTTTATTATTATGTTATAGTTTAATAACTAAAGGCTCGATAGAATCGATAAAAAAAAGACTAACACACCTTTAATTTAAGCTCATAATAAAAACATAAAAACGACCAAGTGCGAGTCGGAAAGGAGCACGAAAGGGTTCTGTACCATTGTCCGATTACACAAATGTTGGTTTTATTTTTGAGTGTCCATCGTTGCTATCATTGATCGAGGAATTGCGCCTTTTGCATCCCGGTTCTAGATATACAGTAAAACATCGAAGCTTTAGTCAATAATTGTTTTAAACGCCTATTCGTCATATATGTATGAGTAAACACTTTTTTCTTTACATATTATATAACCTAATAATATAAACTTGTCGTTTGTCGAAATATATTATGTCCCTTTTTCTATTCCAAGTTTAAACGCTGCATGACCTATTTTTCTTAATGACAGTATACAACTAACGAGCATTTCCCCACGGAAATCAAGAAAATGCTTAAGTGACAAGATCTGTGTTTAGTGAAAATCTAAATATAGTATTCTCACGGTTATACGCCAAAACATTCATTTGATGAAATTTTTACAGGAAATAGAAATAAATAATATTTTTTAAATAATTTGTCATCTGATTTAATTTATTTTTTACTTCATTTTATATCCTTTTTTAATTTAATTATAAACGGTAGTAGTACTTTAAAGAGAACTACTTACGTTAAAGGCACTAAACTGATTTACAGACACACTCTCACTTTTCTATATACACTCACTTTTCTTCAAAGCTTAAGGTTTCTTCTTCTTCTTCTTTTGCTTTTCTTCTGCTTTATCCTTGAAGCTCAGTAACGTCACGCTCTGTGTATCAGGTGGTAGATAGACAGTGTCGGACGGCGCTGCCAATGTTTGTACATTACCTTGATCGCTCGTTAGAGGCACATAGTTTTGAGAGTTCACTGTACTGCCTTGGCCAGTTGACACCGGCACATATTGGACTGGATTTGTGTTGCCATTTGATAGAGGCACGTAATTGGTTGGGGAATTCGACGTATCCTGAACTGTCGATACGGGCACATAATGCACCTGGTCTCCAGTAGTCGATTGTCCGGTTGAAACTGGCACATAGGATTGAGACCTTTGACCACTTAACACAGGCTGGCTCGCACTCCCTTGCACATTCGTCGCGGGCACTAAACTTCCAGGCACATTTTGACTCGTCACAGGCACGATCTGATAAACCACTGTCGGACTCGGCACTAACACAGTTTGACCATTACTAGAAACATACCCTACCGTATATGTGACCGGCGCGTTTGTATAAGGCACGGTTTGTAAATTTTGCTTGGGCTGACTCGGCAAAGATACAACATAATACGGCATACCATTTATTATTCCACTGTTAGCTGTCGGGATCGAGGTTTGCTGCTGATAGTTGGATGGATTGGCGATTACACTACTCGTTTGGTACATTTGACTCGGGATGTTAGCATTGGCTATGGTGTTAGGAAGGTTCACGATACTGTATAGAGTAGAACCGCCGCTTGGATTCGGTAAGACGATGTTATTTCCAAAGGGGTCGGCTTCGGCCATTTTATTCGTTAGGGAGATTTGGTTGGGAATTTGTAAAGTAGCATATGAAGTAGGACTCGTCTGCGGTGGGTTTGGGGCATTTACGGAATTCGTTAGAGGGGCGTTTGGTTTGTTATTCCATTGGATAGTGTCAGGAGCTATATTGACCGCGTATAATATCTGTGGTGTGTCGTTGAACTTGTTTGGGAATTGAGATTTATTGTTCTTGTGGTGCCTTTGAGCCTGTCGCTTAACCTCGTCCTCATGATCTGGAAAAACGATTTCGTTAGGGTCTCTAGGTTGATTGACCTTTACGGGCTCATTTTCTTTAGCTAACAGTGGGTCTTTATTTACGTTTGTTTCAGCCACTTCGGGCCCACTATTTTGTTTACTAACAGAGATAAACGGTTTGTTTTGCTTTACGGGGGATGTGTGAGTATTATTGGTCAAACTGTGCATATTTTTATCATCTGAGTTTTGTATCTTTTCTGTGTCTGGTAAACTGGTCGAATTAACGACGTAAGGTGCGACAGTGTTTAAATGGAGACTTGACATTTGTGCGTTTATAGTAGTTGGTGGCGACGGTGCAATATTTCCAACAACTTCTGGTTTACCTGCAAAATTTCCTTGCAGACGCGATTCTAAACTGTCTTGTGATTGATTGGAATCGTCGAAATTTTGCCCACCCTGTGCTTGATTTTGGTATCCGTTCCTGTTTTGGTATCCAGAATTTTGGCCATTTCCGTATCGATTTTGTATGGGTAATTGCGCTGATGGCTGTCGGTTGTAATTATTCCCTAGTAAGATATTCCGATGAGCATTAAACATGTCGTTGAGCATGTGTGGTAGGGCTGAAAAGAGTGACCCACCCTGACGATCGCCATAGTAATCGTGACAGTTAGCGGCACCGAAGACTAAGAAAATAATCTGAAATCCAAATATTGTATCATTTAATTTATGAAAACAATTTTATCTAAATAAAATTATAAACATTATTTTTGTATCCTTGTAACTATATATGTAGTAGTAAAATATCAAATAGTTCTAGTAAAAGATAGGCAAAAGTTAGGTTTGTTTTTATAACAAATAAACAAGAATGTTTTGAGTAATAAATTATGATAAACTCACCAGTACTTTCTCATCCATGGCGAAGTAACAAATGACAAAATAGCCGAATACGATAATAATTTAAATTATTACAAAGTCATAATGAAAAACATTAGATACTAATTAAGTAATGATATTTTGAAAGTCAGAGGGAAAACCACACGCAACGAAGCATAGGTAATGACGATTATTAATTTATATTTAATTAACTAATCACAATGCGATTAGTTCTGTCTTGGAATAAAACTATTACGCGGGGAACTATTAGGAACGGAAACATACAATACTTTTTTGAATTAATGTAACGAGTTATATATTGAACTGGCGTTCTTGGCGTATATTTAACTTTTAATAAGTATTTGATTTTGATCTCATCTCAGTTTCACTAAAATATTCGTTTGATATGAAAGATTAAAAAAACCCAGAAGTAATAGGTGTTATTATTATAATAGTTATACGCATTGGCGATTAGCAGGTGTCTACAATTAATTTTCATGTAATTACGATAAAAACATTTTCTTATTGATCACCGTTTTCCTGAAATAACGATGTTATTGAATGTTTTCTACCTAAATACATTTCAATTAGGAAAATGTTTCAGATTAATGCTTTTTGGCTATAATATATTTTCCAACGCGTATAAGTGGGTTCTAGGCATATAGCAACAGTTTAAGCACAGGTAAATAAATTACAATATAACATAAAAATATTCAATTTTATTGATTCGCATATTACTATATACTTTACAAATAAAGCATATTAGTAATCAATCGTTTCATAACAAAAAAGGAATATTACATGCTTGCAGATACATATAATCTTTTCTATCGTTTAGTAAACCGGTCCATAGTAACCATCGTTATAAGGTTTTTCAAGAGTTTCCGGCGAACCGTATTGTGGATAGTGCAAGTTCTTGTAATAGTCATCTTCGTGTCCTTTGTTCCCGTATCTGTCATACTGTAAGTATGGTTCCTTCAAGTATTGTTCGTGACTAGGCTTATCGTCGTGCTCAGGATATGGAACCTTTTGATAGAAATTGTATTTGGAGTCAGGTTTCAAAGGAGGCAAGAAACTGGGAACGTATTTTGCAGGATCTAAGTAACCATCATATTTTATAGGAGTATAGTAAGCGGGATTACGGTTAACAGGGGGCACGTAATTGGAGTCGTGTTTTACAAGAGGCAAATAACCAGGGTTATGTTTGTAACCCACATCGTGCTTGGTAGGTGAGAAGTAGCCAGGGTCATGTTTTATTGGAGCCAAATATTCGTGATCCTGCTTTACAGGTGGTAAGTAAACGGACTCATATTTTATAGGAGGCACGTAACCATAGTTATGTTTTACGGGGGCCAAGTAAACGGACTCGTGATTCACAGCGGGCACGTAACTAGGGTTAGGTTTTATGGGGGCCAAATATTTATGATCATGTTTTAGAGGAGCCAAGTAAACAGGCTCATGTTTCACAGGGGGCACGTAAACAGGCTCATGTTTCACAGGAGGCACGTAAACAGGCTCATGTTTCACAGGAGGCACGTAAACAGGCTCATGTTTCACAGGAGGCACGTAAACAGGCTCGTGTTTCACAGGAGGCACGTAAACAGGCTCATGTTTCACAGGAGGTTCGTAAACAGGCTCATGTTTCACAGGTGACAAGTAACCAGAGTCATGTTTCACTGGGACCAAATATTCGGAATCGTGTTTTACAGGATGTGAAGGACCGTGTTTTTCATGCGCTGAGTCATAATAATTTCTGTCGTATTCCCTATGATTATCTCGATCATACTTCTTGTAGTCTCTGTTGTTGTGCCGTCGGTCATGGTCGAAATTGTTGTATTCGTGATATTTCTCGTGGTCATAGCCCTCGTGATAACGATGTCTATCGCGGTCGCGGCCATCGACTTGGTCAGTATTTCTATTCCTTTCATTCACTCTCCCTTCTCGATTATTACTTCTTTCTCTATCATTTTTCCTGCCGTCTTTGTCATTGTTTCTGTCTTTCCTGTCGTCCCTCTCATTGTTTCTTTCTTCCCTGTCATTGTTTTTGCCTTCCCTATCATTTTTCCTGATATCCTTCTCGCTATTGCCTTTGTCCCGACCCTCAGTTCCTCGGTTGCTTTCTTGATTTCCGCTTCGTTTATCGTCACTATCACGCCCATTACTTTCTTGTCTGTCACGTTCGCCATTCTCTCGCGCATTGTCATCCCTTTGTCGGTCGTTTCTGTTATGGTTCTCGCGGTCCCTACTATTTGAATTGCTTATCTGTCTGCCATTGCCGTCCCGTCCAGAACCTTGTGGCTCTGCAGCAGCAAGGACGATAGCAACGAAGATGGCCTGGAATCAAATGGGGAATAGAAAGTTTCTAAAAAATCAAATATACAAGATGCGCCATCATAAGTTAACATTGCTATCATTTATTAAATATATTAAAAATAAAATACACTTATTTAGTTTGTAGATGTATATATTATGATATATATATACAAGTTTGAAAGACAAAATAAGAAAATCGCATTTTCTGACTAACTTCGCATTATGAGTCAGTGGAATTGCGAGTTGCAGTCTTAATATGGTAGGCCCATGCTAGAAAAAACACTGGCGAAGGGCAACTGATATTCATACACATACGCTTTGCTTGATCCCTGGTATGAGGTATCATAACCCTGTTTATAATTACTCTCGGAAAAACTTGGACTATCATAATTATAATACGGCTCTTTATAATTATTTTCCTCATATTGATACCCTGCTTTTCGGTTTAGATTTGCTGCATTGGGAACGTAGGAGTTCTGTGGTTTTACTTGATTGGCAAATCCAGAAAAGGAGTATGTCGGTGGCTGATAAACGTTGTACCCAGGTCCAAAAGGAACAGGGTTGTGCCCTATTCCGAAGTTTTCAGGATATCCCTTATTGATATTAGGTTCTAAGTATCCATACCCTTTTGGTTCTCTTTGAATGTTATATTGTTGACGATTACCAGTATTAAAATAGTCATCTTTTTTATAATCAGTATTTTCTTCGTGTGACCATCCTTGGTTCTGTTTAAACGTATAGTCTGATACAGGTCTACCATTACTATATAAATGTTCATATGAATGATATCGGTCATCTTGTTTGTAAACATTTTCTCTACTATTATAGGCCGAGAATGGAGGTACATTGAAGTTATTGACTTTCGGCTTCTTAACAAGACTTAACTCGCCGTTCACACTGCCTATCACATAATCATAGATGTAATTCTCTTTTCGCTGCTTAGATATATCGTAAGACTGTTTAGTTGTTTTTTCATTATTATAACCTTGATTATAATAACCATCTGAATTGACAGGGTATATTTTATCCTGCTTAATAATACCGTTATCATTTCCTTTAGTTTGAAAAACAACTACATGGTCTTCGGGTTCATCGTTTGTATAATTTGGGATTCGGTAGTCGCCTTTTTTCTGGTCATAAACACTATAACTTTTTAAATCTTCTCTGTCTTTTGTATTTTCTTGTTCAAATTGTTTTGGACTGTCGATGATTTTTCTGTTGTTTTCGTTAGATTTGCTTTCCTTATTTTTTTCTGATTTATGATGTATGGCGTAATTGTAATCTCCTCTTCTTTCGTCAACACTTTCTTTATTATCTCTACCTTTAATTTTCTCGTAGTTATCTTCCTTGACTTTGATAACGTTGCCTTCGTCTACAATTCTGACACTAGCTCTTTGTTTATTGCCATAAATATCAATTTCTTTTTCCTGTATATATTTTTTGTCTTCATTGGTTACTTTGACTTTTTCACCACCTTCTTTATTTTTAATCTTAGTGTAAGAGTCAATTTCTGTCTCCTTGATTATACTAAAACCACTATCTGACTTAGAATTTTTGGAGTAAGCTGGATTATCTTTCGCTACCTTACCCATTTCTTCATTTTTTATAATTTCCGGACTATACACTTCAAGATCAATTTTAGGATGTTTTTTTTCTTGTTCGTACAAGTATTGTTCTTTATGCTTACTTTTCTGTCCTCTTGGATCTAAGCTTTGAATAAAATGATAACCTGGTATTTTTTCAATAACCTGTTCTTTAATTTCTTGGCCTAAATTACTTATCAGCCCTAAAAGCTCAATACCCCCGAGCAATTCCTTCTTTTCTTGAACGTAATTGGAATAGCCTTCTCTATAATTTTTACTTTGATTTATAATTTTTTGATTGTACCCGTTATTACTATTAGATAACGGCTTAGATATTTGTATGTTTTTATCATACAATTCTTTATCTATGACTTTTTGAATGTGAATACCTCCGTCTATTTTCTGACCTGAATTTTGTGACAAGTCTCCTTTCTTGGAGGGCACGTCAGCTTTTTTAACAATCACATCAACTTTTACTTGATCATCTTTATTTTCTTTGTCTTTACTTATAAATCCATGTATTTCAATAACTTGCTCGTTATTCTTAGCATTGTTAACAGTATTTTTTTCCTTGTAATCTGAGTCCACTTTTTCGTTATTTAAAATAGGTGCAGTTATTAAACTTTCTAAGTAGCTGTAACGTGGAGGACTGCGGTTGTTGTCGTATTTGTCTTTAGGTATTAAAATACGGCCTTCTTCTTTCTTGCCATAGTTCCGCCTTTCATCATTTTGGTATTCTTTTTCTTCATATCCTCTATTTTCTTTACGATGATTATTATCATTCTTTTGCTTATAATTTTCATTTTCACTGGGTTTTTCGTCATTGTTATCTACGCCTTTTAGTTCATAATCTTTGTGCTGTTGTTGTTTATCATCTTTGCTATAACTCTGAACTTTACTTTCTTTTTCACGGTCTTTTTCATTATACGTGTCCTTACGACTGTCATTATTACTCTTGCCACTATAGCCATTACTTCTATCTTGTTTGTCATTTTCACGTTCTTTTTTTCGGTCTTCCCTCTCACGGTTTTTTTTACTATCATATTCTCGTTCATTATTACTATCCTTACTTTCTTTATATTCATCGCGTCCTTTTCGATCTTCTTTTTTACGATCCTTTTCATTGCTTTGATCTCGTTTTTCGTTATTAGAATCTTTATTCTGATCACGTTCGTAATTCTTTTGTCGACCATTATCCCTGTCCATTTGCCCCTCATTGTTATCCTTTTTTCGATTTCTATCCCCTTTGTCATCTCTACCATCTACGTCATCATTATTTTTATCTCTATTAATATCTCTTTGTCCATTGTGATTTCGACCATTAGATTTTTTGTCCTGATTTTTTCTTTCAGGAATGGAGACTTTTTTGTCAATTTCGTCACTGTCCTCTTGTGGGCTTTGGTATTCGTTATTCGATTGTCTCGTGCGATGTCTGGTTCCATCGAGCCGATCCGTATCAGAAGAGTCATATTGTTCATTAGACTCTTGACTTAATATACTTCGGTGCACTTCATCATATCTATTATTTTCATCAAAGATGTTGTCAGCATTCCACCCATAGGTTTTGTCAAAATGTTGGTAAAGGCTGGGGTACTCCGTGCCAGCAATGGACTCTTGTTGTGGCTCACAAACAACAAGAAGGAATACGGAGAAGATGGCCTGCAATACAAGTTTTTTCGCATAAAATCATTCATGTTATCCACTATCCTGAGTTTCACTTTCTCTAAAATACGAGATGTCATCGAAAAGCAGAGATTATAGAACTGTAGAAAAGAATATAACATCCTAAGATTATATCAGCAAAAATCACACAAAGCTATACGCCTTTCTATCTAATTAAATACTTTTGAAAAAGGCACACGTCAATCAAAAAACTACTTACTATAAAAACCAACTTCATGTTTACAGTTGCACCAATGTCCGCATTAGCAATATGAACTAAAACACAATTACATAACGCGTGCAATAAATAACCTTAAATGTAATCGCAGTTTCGTGAGAACAAAGGTTCGAAGGCAAAAGCAATCCGTTTTAGCTAATAGAGGCATTTAACCCGAATGTGCGCGTAATTAGCATTAATTCATTAAACAGATAATTATGTTTGTTTATTTCTCGCTAATTGTAAATGTTTGCAGTTTCCGAGACTAAACGATAGAATCAACATGATGTTTTTTAAAATATATTACTTTTTAAACTTATTAGTCACAGGATGTCAAAACTTCGTTATTATTGTTGTATTTAAATGTAACTTGTTAACTAAAAGTTAACATATATCATACAAAATCTAAATAAAACACAGTACTGAAAGGCATAATTCATATAATATTATAAGTTACAAATAAGTATTTACAATATGTACACTATTTACAATTTAACTACAATTAAAGACCCGTTACTTACATCTAACTAAATCGAAATCCATTTTCCTAGCCGTTTTCAATTTTTATCAAAAGTTATACAGTAGAAAACAAAATACATTTACACATACACATATATAATGTCGTATCGGAAAAAATACATATAACATTTAAAATATACTATGATGATGTTCTTTGTTACACTTGACATAGTAATAAGGTTTTCGAATAATTTCATCTGAATTAACCATCGAATTTTCATTACTACTTTCATTCTCGTTTTGAGAAGCATTTTGGGTGAAAATCCCTAGCTGGGCAGTTGAAGGTTGACTGCTTTGTGTGTTATCCGAAAGGGAAATACCACCATCAAAGCTGGTATCGGTAAATACAGCGGATTGGGTTACTTGGCTGTTTTGCATTCCCGGTTTCCTAAACGGAAAAACCTATTTTACTCGCCGTTCTTTGGAGACGTGGGGATAATTTTATGTTTTTTTTCAACCCATAATACAGACCCGTAACTAAAGATTCGTATCCATAGGTTGGGAACATAGGAATGTTTACATGTACCAAATGCAACACACATACAATAAAAATAATAATCAGAAAATTTCAGTAAAATGTCAGTCATCATAGACATGAAAATTTTTTGATGTATCTTAACATATAAATGTACGTGTTTTACATTAATGTGTTCATTCAGACATAAATAACAGCAAAAGAATATAATTTCTTAGTCCTTTGGTTATGTTTCGACAATCGTTTGCTATTTTACAATGACAGTTGTTGGCAGTTATATATATTATATAATATATTACCTATATGACAGATATCAAATACCCCACGTTTTTTAGCAAGTTACCTACCCCTGATGCTGTCGCACTTGGTCCTTGAAACGAATTACGAAGTCGCTGACGTTCATGTTGGGAGTGAGGAAATCGTTGAGGCTGGAGACAGGAATGGGTCTGTCGAAGGGGTAACCCATTGCCTCCTTGTCCGGGTATTTCCTGTCGCGGAGACCACAGTACGACGCTGCGTCATTGCAGGACCCGACTACGTCCGCTTGGACCACCTAGAAAAAATTAATTCAAAAAATTGTAGATGGCGCTATAAGCAATCTCATGAATTTCAGCTCGTTATAACAAAAGTAACTTACTCTATCATTATTCCAATCGGAAATCATACAGAACAGCACGTAAGGTGTACCGCTCGTTGTTCCCTTGGGCACGAGCATGTGGTGTGGCCATCCACAACCGCAGAAGTCGAATTCGGCAGCTGTTCCAGAGCCTGGGTCCCCTGGACGGTCTGCCTGACGGCGGAAAGTCCTCTCGTAGGGAATGGTCACGGACGAATTGACCGAGGAACGACGGATGGTGCTGCTGCCGGAGGGCACTGCGGAATGGGAATGAATTAAGTGTATTTATGTCAACATTACAGGTTTTAAATGTCAATGCAGATGATGACTTGAAGATTACTTCAACCTATCATCACATATGAACTGATAGAAGTCAAGAAAAGCCTTTATACATATATGTAAGGGTCAATGTGGTGCATGCTAAAATGTGTTGAACGAATTCGACGAGAATGAGTGAGACACGGTAGCTGAGTTAGGAAGAGCTGCACGAAACACTCTGGTTGTGGGTTCTAGTAATGTTTAGTATGGAATAAAGTTGAATACTAACGGTTCTCCGTGAATTTGTCCAGCTCAATCATGAGTCTCCTCTGGTCGTTGAAGTTGAGGGGGCCGCCACGCTCATCCTGTACTGGTGCCATGAACAGCCGGACGGTGCCCACTACACCTTGGCCTGACGTGTTGTTTACCTCGATACTGGATAAATTAATAAACTTAAAGGAAAGCTCATGATGTCAGGGTTATTTAAAATGTACTATCTGTTCAACTTAATTTCAGACCTCGATAAATCGTGTTAAGTTCTGAGCAGTAATTGATAGAAAAGTCTTTACTTAGCTTTTTACTTAATTAAAGTATGATAGACGAATAAGAATGCAACTTACACATAAGAGAAGTCATCATGCGTAAGATGAGTGAACCTGGCGAGAACACTGCCCCTAGGGGTGAAGTCCAAACCACGACCCAGGTCTACGGTGCTCTGCTCCCACTGGGTGGAGATCTGGTTACGACCAGCCGATCCCTCCAGGCCCACGGACATAACACGGATTCCGGAGAAATCAAGCTGGAATACCATGAAAAGACGAGTGTTAGAAGAAGAAAAAAATCAATAGTTAACTATAAAAATCTTTCGTATTTATAATAGAAGGAGGATAGGGTCTACCTTGTCATTGGAGTAGGGAGTTAGCTTGTTCTTGTACATCACGAAGAGATCATCAACGTACGCGTGCCAACGGTAGAAGACGGGGTCTCGCATAGCGGTGGCCGAGTCACCCATAACGCCAAATTGTTCCTAAAAAACAATGTATTAATACAACTACTTAACAATAATTAGGAAATCGTAGCTTAAGCCGGAGCAAGACCTCCAAACTAGTTGACATTTAAAACACATTACATAAATCACTTTTAACGGTTAAAACGCAAAATATTAGTTAAGCTTGTTTGAAAATTATTTTTAAATTTGGCCCGACGTTTCGGATGCTTTGCAGCAGCCGTGGACACGGGGTGTCTCCCCAATGTGTTTTATTTCAATAGATAAAGACACTGAATGTTAAAAATACTAATAATTTGTCAGGAGCTGCTGCAAAGCATCCGCTCGTAGTTAAAATAAATTAACCAAATTATTTTGCGTTTTCAACCAATCTTTCAAAATTGAATTCACTTTGAATTTTCGTTAATAAAATGTTCATTAAAACTAGCAGCAGACTGATTAACAGATTTGCGGACTTTCAATTCGAAGTAGAGTAAAGTATTTATTTAACAAGAATCCGTAAGAATAATATTGAATGATTGTTCTATAAAAGCCCCAGAGCGGACATACCAAGTTCCTATGATCAGGGTCGTGAGAGTAAGAAATGAAGACGTGCCCCATGTTGTGCATGTCTCCGTAGTAGGGTCGGTTGGGGCTGATTATTGACGACTCCATCATGTTGCCAAGATTGTCGATTCCTGTCGCTTCGTCCAAGGGAACGCGTCTGCCACTGGGCTGGAATAGTAGGTCGCTGGTCATAATGAGAATTTTAGAAGACAAATTAATTTTGTCAGGGGCTCTAAGAGAAGAGCATGACCCCATGAGCTGATTCCAAGACTAAGGTGGACCACTAATTGGACATATTTATTTAATTTACGAATTATTATATAATATGTTCTCCAAGTGAAAAGTTATGAATGAATATTTTGAAGTACAGTACGCTTACGTATATACACGAATAAAAAATCTACTTCTTACTTGTACCTATTGTTATCAAAATAAAAGGTTCTTGACTTGACTACGACTATATAACCCTCCTTCTGTCGCCAAAGCTGAATCCGCCCTTAAGTGTAAAGGAATGAGTTATGCGTTACGAACTTAAAGCAATAGATTTAGGTACCCCTTTCGTTTTCAAATTTACTTTTTTTATTAACGTCTTGAACCCTCGTATTTAGAATTGCACAATAATCAAAGGCTAACGTCTCTTTCTCACCAGCATAATGGACATGCTGTCAATGGCCTCGATGAAGCGAGCTCGCCAGTCCTCCATCTGGGAGACATCACTTCGGATCTCGTCGACCGGTCGGTGCAAGTCTTGTATCACGGATCCGGCGAACCTGGTTTTCGTAAGTAATAATATAATGTCACATCTCAGTTTGATAAATAGTAATACAACATGCTAGTAATATTTAACAAAAAATGTTAATCATAGATTTGTTTAATACAGTTTAAGGCTGCTCTGTAAGAGTTACGTGACGAAGTCAAGAAAAAATTAAGACTAGTCTCGAGTAAAACCAAAATAGATTTCAACGGATTCAAACTAAGCGATATAATTTATTAAAGTTATATTCATTTTAATTTAAGATAGAACTAATCCTTGTAGTTGAAAACTTTTATATTTAAAGATTGAGATTACAATACGCAAGAGGTGCATGTATCGCTAGCTGAAATAAATCCGACGATGACCTTATAGGACACAGCACTCAAATTGGCTAGAGCAACAGCACGGAACGCTGTCGATGCCGGTTCAAGTCCTGTTCGTGGGTCCCAATCCATCAAATTTATTTAATCTAGGTCCTCGTTGTTTGGTTGCTTACCTCGGTGGCCAGGCGCGGCTGGCGACCTGCGAATCCAACTTGGGGAAATATCCTTCTTCGATTGGCTCACGGAAGTTGTTGTAACGACGCGGCGCGCTCAGGTTGTTGCAGTAGCGCTCTGCTGTGTACCTGTTATGGTTTCGTTTGTTGAGATATAGAGTCATTCATTCTTCATGTGAGTCAGCCCGTCCAATAGAAGGAGAAAAGCAATATCAAAAACCCATTTTTACTATTATTTTTTTTATAAAGACGATCTTACTCATTATTGCCTTTCGAAACTGTAAGCAGTTCTCCAAATTATGGCTTAAAATTATACAAAATATGGCATCTCGGGTACCCATTATTCCCAGTACCACATATAGCAACGAAACGAATTGTCAAAGACTAACGTTATTTTACTACATTATTGAGTAAACACTAAAATGGGTGAAGTAGTTAGCAGATAGACTGATCCCGGCTTTTATCGGTGTACCCCCATATAAAAAATAATAATAATACATTATTTATTTATTTTAACGGTTTAAAACGCGATGTATATTAGTTAAACGTATTTGGTAATTGTTTTAATTTCGGCCCGACGTTTCGGATGCTTTGCAGCGGCCAAAACGTCGGGCCGCAGTTATGTGTATTGTAAATTAGTTTGTTTAAATATGTACTACTCGCGTCAACTACAGACGATATTTATGTTATGAATGTAAATCATTACCTTGCGATGATCTGCTGGTGCATGTAGTAGAAGAGTTCCCCTCGCCTGTCCTTCGCGACGATGGACCGGTCCGAAGCGTCGAAGGGGTAGACGAGATGCCAGTGCCAGTGGTGCAGGTTGATGCCAATGTCTTCGCGGAAGTAGGCCACGCGTTGTTCCGGCTCAGCCTCGGACGCGGTGTAGTTCTGCGGTATCACTATTGGCATCTGCTGGAGGATAACTCGTGTTACACATGAAACCGGGCCCGAAGGATTTTGACAGACAGATTGCATATTCTTAGTATCTAACTAATTTCAGTTCATGACGTTCAGTTCAAAAAAAATGACAGACAAGCACGGGGTACACTTGATGTTAGATGAAATAGCTATAGCATCTAAACAAGATGCGCTGTCGGCCTATTTTGGCTGTGGATATTTGGAAATCCACGGACTGTAACCGAAACGGAATTTCGAGATTTCGACCACCCATTTACTATCCAGATTTCCAGACGAAGTCCAACATGTTTCAAAAAAATGTTGGACCCGGTGGGGATCAAACTCACTCAATCACCCGTTGATTATTAGCCGTACATTGCTACCATTACACCAACGAGCCCAGAGAAATCATTAAAAAATAATAATTGGAATGAGGTTTTCGTTGGTATTTAGCAAAGCTTTTTGAGTTTTTTAGCCGTTTAGGGCCCTTAAGAATACACTATTCGGAAAAAAAATCTCAATTACAACGGATTCTTGATAAATATGTTTTTTTTTATTTATACTAGAAACTGTCATGAACAAAGCGATGATATTCAGAGGAAAAACAAGAAAATATTCGAAATATACCCTGTTCCCAGTTGGTACTACAGTGGCGACCTCTCTCGCCTTCCTGAACACCCTCGGGTCCATGAACTTGTCCGGGAAAGTCTCAGCAAAGGTGGGAAGGTTGAGGCCCCTGGTGTCCTCTCTGTAAGTACACATTTTTATGTTACATTCTGTATTATGTTGAGTTATGAAACGTTAGGCAGGCATATTGCAACTCAAAGGAATGACGACCTCGCCTTGTTCTAAACACGTTTTAGTCTACTGTATCTAATACAAGACAAATCACACCGCCGGGAATTGCTAGTCGAAGTAGTACGATAGTAGTACAGACCTGTGTAAGATGGACACCGAGAGGCAGTAGTTGAACAAGTAAGGGTTGATTCTCATTTGGCAGTAGGAACAGATTGATTGAAGGTCGTCCAGGGTGCGCATACCTGAAAACGGTCCAATGTGACAAATAAAGTTAGTGTTAACGAAACGTCGAACATCGGGATAGATAGCTGTGCAATGAAATTTATTACAAATAATTTTAGAATCGATGACCTGCGAGAGTCTCGAATCCACGCGTGTCCAATTACAAACTAGTGATTTGTTGAGTTGTACCCTGTAGTCCTGGAATTTCTTTTTGTTTTTTTCTACTCAAATATTACTGCTTGTTGAATTAAAAGCCTTTATTATTCTTATTATGTAGATTAAACTTTACGTAACGAAATATAATTTTTCTAATTTATGATAATATATTGCGTGTATTAAACCGTTAAAAGAATTTAATGAATGTAAAAGCGTACTTCTACAGAGTACATAGAGTTAGACCGGATCCAACTTTTAGCTTACCCATAAAAATATCAATGAGGTTGGCAGCCATTTTTCTATGTTTTGGTACCCATAGCGAGAATTGCGCGTTGTAGGGTAGTTGCAGAGGCAAAGATAGGTTCGGCAGTGCAATGTTGTTGACTGAGATGGTGTCGGAAGCGCCATCGCCAAAGCGGTTCGCTAGAACGTTGCTGACCGCCTTGTATTTCTCAGGCTGTGAAATATTTTGTACATCGTCGTCAATCCTATGGTAACCATTTATGTAACCAATGCGTCGTGATTAGATTCCTATCGAGTTCGTAAATAGCCACGCTGCTTAAAAAATCTGACGCGACTTAACATATTGGAACTATATATCATGTTTGTGTACGATAGAACAATAAATGAATGTTCTATCTCTAATATTCTATCACATTAATTATAGTACTTCTATGTTAATAATTAAAGCGATTCAGGCAAAGGCCATTGTGTAATATCAAAAATGTACCTACACTAATATTCTAGATTTACTTCTGCTAGCACTTTAGCACAATGCTAGCCGTAATTCCATGTCATTTATTCAAATGTATCGTAACAAACAAGCCTGTTATTGTTTTCATGCAATCAGGAAATTATTTAATTATAGGATGTACAGGAAAACAGGTAATACCTAACATTTATAATATTATTATAAGAACTGAAAGCAAGTTACAGAAAGTCCTAAAAAAATTATATATAACGTATTTCGATTATTATAAATTGAGTTTATAATTCCAATTCAAACCCATTCATGAACCGAGAATGATTTCGCATGGCCAAAAAAAAACAAAGTTCAATGCCGTGGACTGCAAATCTTAGATGGCACTAAGAAGTAAATTTAGGTATTTTATTTATATTAAAGGAAATTCTAATATTTTTGCGGTATTAATACAGAGTTAATAATACTTACGTAGAAATTGTCGGGTAATTCGAAAACTGTCTTTTCTCCCTTCTGCATGAAGCATGGTTCCGTGGGGCGGTCGAAAAACAACAATAGGTTGCGTTTGTTAGCCATCTTGCCCCTACGAACATCAACAAATAATAAATATAATAATAATAATGAATAAAAATATTGTCACGTCGTTGTTAACAGCTATAAAAAGTAGTAGTCCTATTATTGATTGATAAAAATTTTAAAATATTAAGACTGAATTACATAAACCGACAAATAATTGTTAATTGAAATTTAGAAAATGTTCACGTCTTTAGAACTTTTAATAACATTACAAAAATTAAATCTTACCTTACTGTTTCTTCTGTAAACGAGTTCAACAAGCAAAGCTTGTATTAGTAATTGGTATATTGGTACTTAGCCGTGGTGACCACGGCTGACTGTGCTCATTGCCTCCTAGTGCAAACATTTATACGCCTTTACACACGGCTTTGCTTGTGCCAAGTGCAAAATTAAGTACTCTTTCCACTTAATACGATAAATTAGCTTCAACTAGCGAACCTTTTGTTTTTTTTTTCAAATATCAACTAGCCAGTTAAAACCCTTTCCCCCTTTAATAAACTAATCGTAAACAAACAAAACTTCTAACATAAACTAGAGTGGAATTTACATATTGTTATATAGGTACCTACTACGTATATTAACTTTCAAATAAATTTTTAAAAAGATTTGTAAATAAGACTGAGTTAAACCTAGCTATAAGATGAGTCGAGATTAACTATCATATCCTTTTAAATAAAAAACGGTTTAATACGCGATATATAAGTTAAACTTATTTGAAAATGATTTTTAAATTTTTAGTTAAAAATCATTTTCAAATAAGTTTATTTTAATGTGTACTACTTGCGTAAACTATATACAATATTAATTATTTTCTTTGTAATATCTTTCACTCGCTCAGTCGTTTATGTAAAGCCGTCCTTATGCTGTTTAGCGATATTTCAAGCGCGGGACGTTGCGGTTCTCGTATCAAGAGGAAACCACCTCGCCGATAATTGAAAATATTACCAAATAAACCATAACTATTTTAGGTGAAATTCCTGAGAATATTTTCAAACAGATGAACCAATATACATATTTACTAGCTGAGCCAGTAAACGTTACGTAACAGTAATTGGTAATAATGAAAATGATTTTTGCGAGTTAATCTTAATAGATAGACATATATGTCGCATACATTTTCGAAGATGAATAATTTCCGAAAAAATAGGCCAACCATCAAGAAACCAATTTTTCAATTGCACCAGTCCAGTGCCAGTACTTCCTTAGATTAACGCGTTTAAACAAACAAACATTTCTTCAGCTTATAATATTAGTATAGAGATGCACTACTACGATGTATATATTTCTACAGATAGATCATATCCTACATGCTATTTATTTAATTGAATTCAAATCCAAGAGCCAAGACCTACCTACATTTATTTATACATTTTCGTTATTAATCGAGGTTTTTTTTTACTTGCCATCTAATACTATAAATCGTTGTAGGACCTTAACAATAAAGCAGAAACCGTCGTTATTAAATACATATTTATGTATTAAATACATAAATTATATTTTATATAGTATTCACTAACTAGTCCTTCGGAGTTAAACTTGTAACACTGGTCCCTAAAAGCAAGTTAAGTTCTAAGGTCCTACAAACCATTACGGCTAAAAGTGAAGTTAAAAAGAATGATTTAAACAGAGTTAAACCTCTGGAAACTAGATTAAGTTGCTGCCCTTGACCCAAATAACCATTTATCTGTATTACTCCCTGCAGTCTATAGCGTGTTTATGTAATGACAGCAAATTGCTTGTTTCTTTTTTATTGAATTCGAACCAAATACCTATGTAATATTTTAAAAAGGAGCTCAAGTTTCATGTCATCAATGGTAAACATTACCATAAATCCATCTCTCTAAGCATGGGTAAGAAGACAATTTTAATGCGGCTATCAATCCCAAATAGGATAATAATTTACCAACTTGCAGAACAGGCATCATAGAAATATCTAATTGCTTTGCAATTAATGCTCATTATGTAACATTGAATGTATTAAGAAAAAAATAATAAAATGAAAGAAATCTTTGGTTTGTAAGAAAGTTTAATAATAATAGAAGTATTGAAAATATCTCCAGTGAAACATATCAACAAATAAAACAATAAATTTAGATAAGTACTAACATATGACTTTACTATGCTAGGTATAGTCTAGGAATTAACTAAAATTTTATTAATAAATACACTAGACGTGAATGTTTACACAAGTAACCTCTTAATCTATACACATGGGTCGTGAGACATCGTCACATCCTCGGACGTTCCACCAGGGATAGGGGGGTGCTACTGAGGAATGTACACGGGCCCCGTGGATCGTGCGAGGGTAGCCTTGAATGTGGGGAGGAAGTGAAGGATATTGGAGAGGAAGCGGTGTGATATCAGGGAAGAGGTGGGGATTAGGGGATGGGAAAGGGAGTTTATAGGGATATTGGTGGGAATTAACCGCTCTTAAAGAGCAATATCGCTACCTGCCCAAGGTAAAAGTAGATAAAGTGGCGAGTCTCATGTGTTACGTAAGAACCAAAGTTGCGCCCGACAATGCAGTGCCATGTTGGGTTGTATTTCTTGTCAAATTCCTTCTTAATGAATGCTGCTATATCCTGCAAGCATTGATAAAAATTTTGCCTATCATTCAACCTCACACAAATATTAATGAAAAAAAAATGGTTAACCACAACATATTGCATTATTCAATAACTCACTATTTGGTCTACACTTCTATGTGATAGGCCACTTATTATTAGGTATTTGCCACACACAGACGCAGAGGAGAGGTGCACAGTTTGAGAAGTTCAGGTATGTTGCATATGCCAAAATATTAAAAAAAAATCATCCAAAATAACTAACTTTATACTCATCCACCAATTTATGTATAGTGTTGAATCCAAACTATTTTTAAGATACTAATTTAATAGGCACAACCTATTCTGTTAATTAAGAATGCTATTTGTCCTTTGATAGTCAAATGTTTTGACAATGAATGTCAAAATTTTCACTTTCATTTATCAATCAATGAGCTAAAACAACTAAAAGTACCTTTTCAATGTTAAATTTCTCCAGGGCCTGTGTAGCGCAGTCCACAGCATCCTGCTGCATTTCTTCGCTCATGTCAGCATTCTTAATCACTGCCTTCCTGTCACACATCTTGTCTATTTGGCTGAAAGATAAAACGCACCACTTAGTACTTTAATTTTAATTGTTGCAATGTTTTTATATTGCTAATATGCCTCAAAAGCATTGATGTCTTAGTTTCACTATATAGTGTAGTAGGCAGACAATTGATCAAACTTCTGTGCGTTCCCCTAACAAAATATGTTATTTTCCTCAGGTTCGAACCCAGGATCTATCGCCATCGGAAAACAAAGTTACTCGTTTTACCATTGACCTTACGTTTTAATCGTATTGTAACGTGTACATTTTCTAAGTTCATAATGTTATCGTTATTACGAGCCTATTTCCCTAGATTGATTTTCCACATGCGTATAAACGCTTATTGTTTATGTCAATGGAGCGCTAAAAATAACTTATTAAAGGTCACACGAGATCCCTAAAGTACATTTCTCTTAATTAAATGTATATAAAAACCTCGTAAGCAAATTATTTTGATGCTTTTTAGTAGTAATCCGCACTAGCGCACTGGCGGTAAAGCCCGTCATCAATACGAATTGAAACTGGGTAGCGAAAACAACGAAAAATTTTGTAAAGATTTTTCTTATCGATAAAGGGAAAAGGCCATTGTCATAGAAACGCACAAATTAAATCAATAGAATAATTTTCACCACAAACCTTAGAGAATTCAGTTATGTTTTCGCAAAATTAAACATTTTATAATGCAAAAAACTAAGGAAAAACGATTTAAAATATGTGAAAATATACGCAAACCAATATATAATTTAAGGAACTATCATAAAAAATAAAAAATACTCACTTTTACGTCTGAATATGAATAATTTTCCACAAAACGATTTAGATACCGGAGATCTGCCGGAGATTCAATGCTACTTTCTAGAGGATTCTTTCAAAGGCTTCTTTCACCGAAGATGACTCAAGATTGCGGTAGGGAGCGTTCTAAATTTGAATATTTTCGAAATACAAACTAATACTTTTAATATCATTGACATAATTTTTTGTAAAACATATCAAAACATTTTGCTTTATTTTCACATTTAAATTATGTATAATGCATAAAAGATGTAATCTGTTTCATAATGTTAATACCGAATATTTTATGTTAATAAACTTTTTATTTTATAGACATAGTTATTACGATTGAAATATTGAATATTACATTTTAAGAATCATTTTATTTTTTATTTTTCTATACAAGAATACAAAAAGTCTAGTGCATGTTATTTTCTATGATCATCTTTTGTTATCTATGGAAGTATAGATTCCTTTCTCACACCTGTGGTTTATTTCATGAAAAGCGCTCATCGACAGCCGGCGTCCATTTTGAATTTTACAAAACGGCGGTGCGCACTGTTCAAGCCTAAAGATAAATGCGAACTTTGATCAGCTCTCCAATTCCCAACTTCTAAAAGTATTTTTATATTCAATAAATTTTAAGAATGTCAGGAGGCAGTGGAGCCAACAGGAACGAGTGCAGAATATATGTCGGCAACTTACCTCCCGACATCAGGACAAAGGACATTCAAGATCTATTTTACAAGTTTGGCAAAGTCACATTCGTCGATTTGAAGAACAGAAAAGGTCCACCATTTGCTTTTGTCGAATTTGAAGATCCTAGGTAAGAAAATTTTCTACGCAACATTGGCGGCGGCTATTTGATAACGCCATTAATATTTATGTATTTAGGTTAATTGAATAAGAGGCGTTACTATCATAATACGGCTAAAAAATAACAGAATTCAGTTTACCCTATCTAACAGGTTTATGTTAATTTGATATTTATACAATTATCTTGATCTGTCGTTTTTTAAATTTAATAATTATAATCACGTGATTGTTTTACGATATTTGTTGTAGATTCTTCTTCTTTGTCTGACTCCTTAGTATTTTGTATACTGTAGCACAACTTTAAAATTTAAAAGTAATTTCTATATTTTTTCTATCATACATTTTCATACTATTAGATAGGTAAAACATGCAAAAATATTGAACACAATTATTTTCTTATCATTGAGTGTGTTGATTAGAATACCACATTACACTCACTACATTTATTATCAATTAGCCTTATATCAAGTTTTGATATAATTTGAAGTTGATTGAAGTATGTTCCTTTAAACTTAAATTGCAGTGTAAGAGATATGGTCAATAATTTGACATATTTTCCACAAACAGTGTGATTGCAGTTTATAACCATTTTTAAAGTGACACCAATTTAAACTTTTTTTTTGCCTTTTAGAGATGCAGATGATGCTGTTAGAGCAAGAGATGGTTATGACTATGATGGATACAGACTGCGAGTCGAATTTCCGAGAGGGGGTGGTGGCGGTGGAGGTAGAGGAGGCAGAGGAGGGGGTGACAGATTTGGTGGAAGACCAGCTGCTAGAGGACCACCCGCTAGAAGATCAGAATATAGAGTTATGGTTACGGGTCTACCACCATCTGGGTCATGGCAGGTGAATTATTAATAGAATAGATTAGATAGAAATAGATAGAATGATATTAGTGTGCTTTACATTTTTTAAAGCGCACTGCTAACATCATTAGCATAATAAAAATATTAGCTCGTAATGTTGTAGGTATTTTGTAAATATCTCATTTGTTCATGTTCCAGGATTTGAAAGATCATATGCGTGAAGCTGGAGACGTTTGCTTCGCGGACACCTTCAAGGATGGCTCTGGAGTTGTGGAGTTCCTTCGGCATGAGGATATGAAGTATGCAGTCAAGAAATTAGATGACTCCCGTTTCCGTAGCCATGAGGTATTTTTTGCTGTTAGTTTATAGCATTTAAAGTTGGATATGTCATTTTTCAGAGGTAGTTTATTCCCTATTTTTAGTAATAATCCAAGCAGTAGTATGAATTAAAATATTTGCATCTGCATACAGTCCATTGTGTTAATGCATTTATTTTTAGTTATAATTGTTAAAAAAAATTATTACACTAGCGGCCCGTCCCGGCTTCGCACGGGTAGACATATATACGTATACATATATTTAAATTAAAACCATGCTAATTAAAACGACTATGAATCACTAAATAAGAAAATAATTGTATTGCGCGTCCTCTCTGTTAACAACCGTTGTCTATCTCGCTGTCAGAAGCCGCTGCGAGTGTTCAGTGTTAGAGTCCCATGTACGCGAATTCCTAGCTCTATTTCCTTCAATTCGCTGCGAGCGCTCGGCGCTTGACTGTCGTTCGTATAGCTGCGACGATCTTGCATTGAATTGATCGACGCTAGATTTCAGATTTAACACTTTTAAGTGAAGCATAAAAATGTTTAAAAAATTTATCCGTCATTTCTCTCAATTAGTTAAATGTAAAAAAGTAGTTATAGTGACGTAACTACAATAGTTAGATATATTATGGTGTCGAGAAGTTTTTTGTAGATATTGATATATTCTATAATATTGTCACATATTTTTTTTGTCCCATCATTAATACTCTTCGCAACGTATGCGATGAAAGACATTTTTTGGCAAATTTTTTTACACCACCCGTTGCTTTATTAGAAATTTCTAAAGATTTCTATCGTAATTTAGTACTAAGTATAGTCTATGTTACTCAGTAATAATGTAGCTTTCTAATAAAAAAAGAAGTATTAAAATCGGCCCAGTACTTTTTGAGTTTATCTGTTACATACAAAAATACAAAATCTTTCCTCTTTATAATATTAGTATAGATTAATTAGCAGCTTGTTCAAATGTTGAAGACTCAATCGGTGAAAAGACATAATGTGCCTAATTAATGATCAGTCAATTCATTTATGTTTAATGTTAATTTTTGGAATAATATCCAAGATTATAATGTCTCAATCTGAGGAGAAATACATTGCAATAAGTTTGTACAGAATCATAAGGTTCAACTTCTTCTTTATCAGGGGGAAGTTTCTTACATCCGAGTCAAAGAAGATTATGGGAACAATGACCGCTACAGTGGAGACAGGGACAGGTGAGAAGAGATAATTTTCCAACTTGGCTTTGCTTTGACATTGGCAACACTGACTTCCTTTTGAAAATAGGTCGCGGTCCTACTCGCCTCGACGTGGTCGCGGTTCCCCCACCTACTCGCCTGTGCGTCGCTCTTACTCGCGTGAGCGCAGCCGTTCCAGAGACCACGCCTACTGATCGCCAAGTGTGTTCAGGTGCGTATACGCGCCTACCTGACAGCGTAGCATATCTTTCAATATCCTATGAGCTTTAACACATGAGTGACAGCATAGGCGATAAATAATATTTTCGATGCCCATCCACTTAAGACAGATAAACATAGAGATTTTTATTATAATGATGAAGATAGACTAAGTGACATTATGCTATGACACAAACTAAAAACAGATCTTATTACTAGAAGAAAAAAAAAAACCATATAAATTTTTTAAAACTAGAGATAAAATCCAAAGTGAAATATTTTGTCCAAATGACATATCGTTTTTAAATTAGGTCAGGATATAATACTTTTAAATAGACTTTTCCAAGGACATTGCAAGTAAGTTCTGCCAAGAATAATTTTATATATAAAATTACTAATGGTTGCTCATTTATTAATTTAATTCTTTTCTAAAATTGATTTTCCTTTTAAAATAACATTCTTTACGCTTATAAAAAAGTTTGTTTAGAATATTATTGCAGTCAATTGCTTTTGTACTAATTTTTAGGGGTGAAATTTTGTTACCCTGTAGTAAGTGTTCTACCGACTCGTCCTCTCGAGGAGAAATGTCACATGTTTGTGACCCCATTGAGTAGTGTATGTATTGAAGGTTGTGTTTATCGACAGCTGGCGCACGGCGGACGGCGGTTTCTACGGCGACTTCTAATCCCCTTTAAATATACACACTGCATACATCAATCACCCCGTCTTTTGTTAGTTTCCTATTTTACTGGGCCGTGATACACATGAAGTCAATATTCAACGAAATCACGATGAAATACTAGCACAATTTTGCGACACGGGCCAGTAATGACTATGACAGTAATTCTAAATGTATATTTTACCGACAGCGTTAAAATCAATTATGAAGAGTTTAAAATTTATTGAATTTTGTCCCAAAATTGCTATAAATATGTGTAAAAATGGTAACGACGATGATTAAAACTGAGGTATCGCTAACATAAAATATCGTTGTCGGTGAAAGCTTGTGAGAAAAATGTAGCATCTTTTAATTGCGATATTAAAGAAATGTTTTTTTGTTTCATCCTCTATGGATTGGATCGGATTGGGCTCGTTGTGGCGTGGTCTGGAGGTGTGAGTCGGATCGGGATCTAGGATATGGATAGGATACAAACGAAAGGATAGGACGCGCGCACTCACCGCCCTCAGGGATCTTGTGGGATCTGGATTTTGGGATCTTAGCTGATCAGGATATCGGATCTTACTGGATTTTCACATTTGGATTTTAACGGATTTTGTCATTTTATTCCGCACGGATTATGGATCTTTGGTATGGTTTTGAAATTTTTGCAAAATAACATGTTGAGTGCACGCTCCGAAGTTTGTTTTTGACTTTGCTTCTCGATGTGACGCGGAGGACTGCTTCGCTCATTCACATAAGACTACATGGTCACTTAGTCTAGAGCTAACGATGTCATTACGAGCATGCTTTAAGCTTAACCTCCCATCCGAGAGCGTACTCGCTCCGAATTAGCTTTTTGGGGCTAAATGGGGGTAGTCGGGTGTATTGAGGTTTTACTACATTTAATCCGGTCGCGTACGTAGATTTAAAGAATAAGAATTGTAATGTTACAAATGTAGGATTGACAAAGCGTATGAAAGTTCGACCTCCCTTTAGCTAGAAACGGGCCTAATTCTACCCCCAGAGTTTGTCTAGTCTACCGGCTTGCAGAGTGTGACGTGTCGGCCAATCGGAATGTTGGTCGACTCTTCGCCTCGCGACGGTCGGTCTAATGGGCTCTGTTAGGAATTAGTATCGGTTCACGTTGTATATTAATTTGACGACGCGTTGTGTGTATTATATTATAGATACATCTGCATTCCAATAAATTTGTTGGACTTTGAATAAATTTATTCGAAATATATCGTGTTTTTTTTTATCAACATTTAACAAACAATACTTATTTATACATCTACACTATTTAATGACAATCTTATAATTTAAACCCTGAATGTATTGAGCATACTCCAAATGTTAAATTGTCATACGTGACCTGTCTGAAGCCAGCATTTTCAATCATTGTCTTGAAAGTTTCCTACGAATAAAAACAAATATTAGAGAATTGAGAAAAGAGGTGTAAATATCGCTTATTAAACAAGAAATCCAGATATTAATGAATAGTACTGACTTGGTCAGGAAACTGTCTGATGCTCTCGACCAGGTACTGATATGGCTTCCACTGACCGGCTACTAGCTGCCCTAGTACTGGAATCACTTGGAAAGAATATTGGTCATAAATCCTGTAACATACAAACACAATTTTATCTTGTATCTAGATATTTCCTTATGGCCTCAAAAAATAAGATTGATCAGCAATTACCTGCAAAATTAATGAATATGGACTTTTTAACAAATATTTTAAATACATGATGGCACCACATAAATTAAAAATCAATTTTACTCAATTCCTTAGAGCAACGGCACGGAACGCTATGGATGCTGGTTCTCTATCTAATATCGAGTTTTAATTTACATAAAGATGTTAAACATTACCATTGCAGTTGTGTGTTTGGCAACTGACTAAACTCTAAACACATGAATCGGCCCCCAGGTTGAAGTACGCGGTATGCTTCTTCTAAAACCTGAGAAAAATTGGAGATAAAATAACATTTCCAATAGATGAGAAAACTAATTATGAATCTCCTGCTACCTAAATATAGTAAAATTTTTATTTTAAATCACAGACTAATTTATATTCTTACTTTGTCAACATGAGTACAGTTCCTAATTCCAAATGCAATAGTATAAGCATTATAACTGTCATCGGGTAATGGAAGTGTCTCTGCATCAGCACACAACCAATCAATTGATACTGATGGATCACCAGTATAACCTTGCCTGAAGCAATTTTAGTTTTTATTTTGAGGGTATTTTAAATATGTACACATGGATTCAAAGTTTGACTTTCCACAATATCAGTAGGACATAAAAGATGTAATTTTTTTAATCTAATATATAAAATTCTCGTGTCACGGTGTTCGAACTTGAACTCCTCCGAAACGGCTCGACCGATTTTCACCAAATTTGATATGTGTATTCAGTAGGTCTGAGAATAGGATAACATCTATTTTTCATCCCCCTAAGTGATAAGGGTGGTTCACTCTTAAATTTTTATTTTTTATTATTTGGACAAAATTTTTAATTTCTATTTTTTTATAATACAACATACAAAAATACATACAATCCTCAATTTTCACCCTTCTATGATCAACCCTTATTTTTTGATAGACATTTTAGTAAAATTATATGGCAAAACAACGTTCAGCCGGCTCAGCTAGTAGAAGTATAAAAAAGTGAAATCTTAAAGAAAAATTAACGCAGTAAAGTTTTGTGTTTTTTTTGTTATGATTTTTTTAAGAAAAACAACACTACTGAATAAAAATGAATTTTCTCACCTCTCGGCTCTTACTTTTCCAACATCTAACATGGCTTGGTTTATATCACTTACAGTTACATGGCTTGATTTATGTGTATCTCTATGGCCTAGGTTCCTTAAGTAGTTTATATACCTAAATGTTATGTCTCCTGACAAAATTGAAATAGTATTAGTACTTGCAAAGTAAAGATAAACTTTGATAATAATTTTTAAGACTATCAAATGTGCAGTTTTTTTAGTTTAATCTCATAGTGGTGGCTACCACTATGAGATTAAACTAAAAAATAAACTATCTTCTATCTTATGTTAAAATTATATGTATGTGTGTATTATTATTTAAATTGTCACTATTCATAAAGACCAATTGAAGTAAAAATAAATACAATCTAAATCAGCCACCTGCCGATTACATAATTCCAATCTCCTATACAATTGATATAGTTTAGTCAGTCTATACATATGGAAAATAAATGTATTCCTAGATTTTTTATTAATTCTATATAGATGTTGAAACCTTAATAGTATTTATTACCCCAATTCCAAGAGAAATGGATACCTGCACATATATATAAGCATGATGGAAATTTACAGATTACATCACTATTTTAACATTAAAACATTTTAGCTAAATTTACCTGTTCCTCCAGCCATATCTAAAAGTTTGGTACCAGGAGTAGGTGCTAGTCTCTGCATAAAAATATCCTTCCACATTCTGTGAATTCCCATAGACATTACATCATTCATTAAGTCATACTTGTCTGCCACTGTCTCAAATACTTCGTGAACTGAAATTATAAATTAACTTGATGTTGAATTTGAACAATAGAAGATATGAAAACCTTGACTTCCTAATAACATAATTTTAGCTTGGTAAGTAATAAAGTAGTTGTATCATCTATATCTATATATTCTTTCATCATCATTCATCTATATTATTGTATGAACCCAAAAAATAAGAATGATTCCTCTTATAATTATCAAAAAAATGTCCATGATAGTATATGTCTATATGGGATGCAGACGACTTCGTGGGTAAAGCTAAAATTTTATAAAGATGAGGAGCTTTACAAAAACCATCTTTGATGCCCAAAATAACTGTTCTGCGAAAACGAAGTCGCTAGCATTCTACTAAATACAGTTACTTTACATAACTTAATAGTGTAGAGGGTTAAAACAGATGCAGAGAGTATTATTAACCTCAATAGTGGGCAAATGTGTAAAATAATAAATATTATAATTTGTATAAAACTATTCTCTATGATGTAAGTATGTATTACCTTTTTTTGTCTTTTCTTCTTCATTAATAGTTTCGAATCCAAAATGTGTTCGTTTTTTCTCATTTTCCTTTGCTTCAGCTTGAGCACTGAGACTTCTTTTGCAAAGTCCCTGCGTTGTTTTAAAATTTCGTATTCTCGTTAAGGCTCGTCTGAACGCCATTTTAACGCTTTGTTTTTACTATATCATGCGAATATTATTACCGAGAGGATTATTATAAAATATTACGATTTTTGCGAAATAACGATCAGTTGTCAAAATAACGTCTCATACCTATCATGACATTTCTTTATATGTCTTGGCATATAGAGAAATGTCATATGTCAGAGTTGTTAAATCGCATAGACTATAGATGACTTCACAGCTAAATCATAATGTTTTCGCAATGATGCCTTAGAGCACTGTATAATACGTTTACGTCCTAATATTAGATTAAGACATTCTTGATCAAACAAACGGGGAGTTCCCGGACAATAAAGTAAAGACAAACTTTAAACTATAACAAATTTTACTAGAATAATTTATACGCAGTATTGTAGCAGCAGTTTAAATTCTGCAGAAGACAAAGTTTTAAGGGGACTTAAGCGTAAGACCCATAGGAAAAAAGAGTCCAAACGTAATTATTACCATTGTTATTATCATAATAATATAACCTTCTTATACAAATTTAACATACAATTTTGGAAACAACCTAAAACTTAATGTTGGCATATAGTTATTAGCATAGGCACCAAATATTCTAATGACATTTATCTCGATGTTATCTTATCGCCAGTAAATTTACAATTATTGTGAACTGTGCGTTCCTGAGGTGTATTGGGTACTGTTAAGAGGCGAGTATGTAAAATAAAAAATCGCCATTAAAAAAATACATTGCTTTCTCAGTGATTACCTATCGCTTCTTATAAACTTATTAGGCTAATTTAATTGTGTGTAAAAACCTCTCTGAGTATATATATATATATATATATATATATACATTTAAATTATAACAAATAAGTTTTTACAGTATTTTACATATTTAAATAAAACACTTTAACGGTTTAAAACGCGATATATTAGTTAAACTTATTTGAAAATGATTTTTAACTTCAGCCTGACGTTTCGGGTGCTTTGCAGCAGCCGTGACCACGGCCTCTTTTATTTTAATGTGTGCTACTCGCGTAAACTATACATAACGTAACATAAGACAGTATTTAGTATTTTACATAACAAACGTAACGTTACGCTAATATAATCCTAATTAATATTAGGTAAAGATATTCCTTAGCCAGATTATTATTTTTTTCATTATCTTATCCGTAAACAAAAAACAATATGATTTGCATCAATCACTGTTGCACTTATCATTCGAGTTTCTAGATAATTTTCATACATAGAGAAACCACTACTGTGCTTGTATTCTTAAGGTAGGATTTCTTTAAATATAAGTAGGTATTAAGTGCTTATTTGTTGTAGCGCCAAATCCCTAAAATTATAATATTAATTTTAGGGGTTTATTGCGGCGACTGATTACATGTAGAAGTACTTAATTTAAAAAGAGTTTCAAGTTGGTATTTGTTTTTCCCTGAGGCAAACAAGGAAAATTTTGTCAGGTTCGCTGAGATTTCGTGTAAAAGACCATACAAACAAGATGAATACATTATCTAACACGTAGAAAGAATTTCGGAACTCATGAATTCATAATACCTCATATGAGTGAGAAAAAACCTCGATAAAACGCAAGACTTTTAACTGATCAATTATTCACGAAAATTCGAATAATTCACGAAATAATTTATCACTTTACAAGTATGTTGGTAGGCACTATTATTTAAAGACGAACTCGCTCACGTTGGAACCGTTGGTTAGGTGATTTTTTTTTGTGTCATAATCAGTCTTAAATTAATGAAAGGAGGCACGTATTTGATTTATACTAAAATAGTATAGCGCAAAGAAAATGTTCCAAAATCCAACATTTTTGTGTTTGTGGAAGAGAATGCAGCGCTCTTTCTTGAAGTTACTGTCTAACTACAGTTGCACTATTGTCACTTAAATTATTTTGTAGTTTTAGATTAATCGTGGACAAAGATGTCTCAACGAACCGTTTTAAACGAGCCGTACAAAGGCCTCGTGGAAAATCTAGCCATCCCCGCAGAAGTACACGAGGTGGAGGGACGTCGATATGCTAGCTGTGCAACGTTACTGCCGATACATTGTTGTAATCCGGAACAGGTATGTTGGATATGTTAATAGATATATTTACCACATTATACTTCGAGAACCATTGGTATGATGAAACAAAATTTGTGTTTGGGTTGTTTCTGTTCTTTATACACATCTAACACACAGATATACAGCATCATGGAGATTGGTGGGGTGGTATGTTAATTTGTTAGTTAGAATTATTTATTATTTTCAGGTGGCGGAACTGTCAGAAAAAACTCATCACTATTGCGACGTTTTTACTGAGCAAGATTTAGCGGCGTTCGGAGAATTGGCTTACGTCAGACTCGATACAGATACTGCTGAGAAGGTAACGAGATACTTAATTATATGTTTCTGAACTTTATTTTGTAGACTGTTAGTTTCTAATCGCAGTGTGCTTCAATACTAAGTAGCGAGGAGCTGTTTCGCGTTTTATATGTAAGACATTCTGTGTTTATACTGTTATTTTTTTGTTTTGCTTAAGGGGTTAAGCGTCGCACCAATTTAGTAACATCGTTTTTTTATATATACCAATAAAAAATGCACGGATTTTAAGGTATTTCTCAATAGAGCGAAGCGCATCCTTGTACTATCCAGCGACGGCAAGTTAGCGCAGTGGCGCTGCGCTCCAACGTTCGAGTCTGCCAACCAGTATATAGCGGGTGCTCCCATTGTCAATAAGGACGGCAGCATCGTGTCCATTGTGACTGTCAAGAGGGGGAACAATTATGCTGTTTCTAATGCTGAGGTAATAGTCTCATGCTAATAGAAGCGCTTTGAGTAGGAGTAACAAAGACATCAAATATATACCATCAGATAGACCGTGCATTTGTTATTGCATAGCCCCATTAAATACTACAAGTATATACATTCATATCACTTTCAACACTTCTTTCAGGGCGAAGGAGGCTACTTCGAGACCTCAAAGCCTTGGGAAACCTTCGATGCGGGTGACGCGAAATTTATTTATGCTGATAAAACCTTCGCCACTCGCGAAGAGTTACGCGAATACGTGATGTCACTACCACCGGCGTCATTAGCCTCGCCGCCTCGACCCATACTTATTAAGGGGAAGGTTTCTAGAATAGCGTTGGTGGATGACAATGGAAGGCAGCTGGTACATGCGTATTTGTCTGGAGTGCTAACAGATGTACAGTACTTGTAATTCATTATTTTGATTAATGATGTCTGTACTCTGTATCATATGTGTGTGCGATATCTGGGTTAACAAATATCGTTAAAATAGTCGTTTTGGGTAAAAAAACAGTAATTTCCAAGTAATCATATTTTTTATTTCTATCGGGTCCGGTAAGTGCCTACAGACATCATAAATCAATTATATAGAACAAAACTGATAATGCTTCCAAAAGATATTTTGAGTTGTGAAAGAGTATAGTAAAAACATAATAATTATACCTAATATTTTTGATGTACAATAAACTTATATTTAAGATAAAAATAGGAAGTAAGATGTTATTCTGATTATACAATTAAAATTTATATTTATACCACAGCCCATGTTATCAATAATTTACAATAGGTCATTTTATTGTCTAATAATTCAGCCTATCCTCGAAGTTTTCCACTTATATTAATAAAAAGGAAATTTATTGTTATTACAAGGTGTAAAACAATTAAAATAGTTTTAAATTCAATTCAGTGAATTCTCTACAGAATAAATATTAAGACAATGACTTTGCATATTAGGAGGGAAGTCTTGTAAATTTAGGAATGCATTTTGAGGCACAACATACGTTTTTTTACATTGAACCGCGACAAGATATGATACATAAAAAATTATGTGCAACACATTTATTGTTATATACGCCTATTCTGGTTTTGGATATTTGGAAATCCACAGACAGAAACGCGATTAAACCTCACGGGTTTAAGCAGCTGTGGTCTGTGACCTGGGCGGAATTTCGATATTCCTACCGCCCGTTTAATAACCACATTTCCAAGCAAAGTTCATGTTTCAGAAAAATTATAAATTGAATCGAAACCAACCGTTGATAATGAATCGCTCGTCGCGTTTATGTTGTTGGGACATTTCTCTTTTAAGAATCTGCTATACATCCAGGTATAGTCTCACGAGCGACCGTTCGTTCGCTGGCAATCTTGTCACTGGACACTGGTTCGTGCTGCGTAGATGTCGCGATATGCACGTGTAACAGAATATGTACCTAGGCAAAACATATATCAAAAAATAAAATAAGAGCTTATAAATATTGAAAATATGTAGTTAAAATTGTTAGTGTAAAAATTTCCAGAATTTTTTTTTACTTTTATTTATATGTTGGAACTAAAATTAAAAATTAGGAAAATATCTATTTAACACCGATTAAACTGTATAATTTAAAGTGAGAACATGTACTACGATTACTGAACGTTATTAGATGGAGTATAGATTCAGTTCAGTTTTTATGTTATTCAACTTACCCGGAAACTGGCAACACTGTTGGGACCTTCCACGGCTGCAGGCAAACGGGACATTTGTTTGCATATCTCGTTCCTTTCTCGTCAATCTAAAAATATTTTAGATTTTTTATAACTCTAAAAAGCCAAATTTTTTTTAAGCTTAAATTCACATAAATAAAAACTACCGTTGGTGGTGGAGGCATAGGAAGGGAGTCCACAGCAAGACCGGGTCTCGTCTCCCACCATCGTAAAAACTGAACGAGAAACGCACCCCACTCTACGGCACCAGCCATCGCTCCCCACACCATGGGAAACGTTACTACTGCAGACCTGTTTCAAATGACTTATATACTAAATGTTTACCAGGTTTTTCCTTTCAATAAAAAAAGATTAAGCCTCCCGCGACCACAGGCAGTTATTTAAATAATTACATAGGTAAAAAGGATTTTTATTTAAATGTGTACTAGGCGCGTAAACAACAGACAATACATATGTATAGTGTGAACAAACATATAACTTGACTTGTTTATGTGAGGAAAAAATATTGATTTCATTTAAAGCCATAGATTATAATTTTCAAGTAATAGTGAAGAAAAATAAATGACCAAACACCATGACTTTCTTTAGTCTGTATTTGTATTTTAAATATAAAAATAATTTACCCAAAATGTCCTTTGAGTAAATTCCGAGCAAGGTCTGTCCATGTGTTTTCCTCTGGCTCTGGTGGTGGTGCATTGGTCAAGGTTAGACCTAGTAGCGTTAGTGGGAGTGATGGGGAGCGAGAGGAGGTGGTAAGATACCGCGCAAGTACCACCAACTTGCTCGCTTCACATGTCAAATGAACTATTGAGTAGAGGTGGACAGCTGCTTTTCGAGCACGATCCGACTTACTCTGAAATTATAGAGAGTGTCTCTTAAGACACAACTTAAATAAAGACCTCTAGAGTTGACTCAGTGAAAAAAAAATAAAAAAAAGATATCATCAAAAATATTGTTAAACAATACATCTAAGTACTTGAATGTGTGAGTAACTTATAGAATATCAACCCTTCACCATGACAGGCTAACTACTAGCACCAGAGTAATTATATTATTATTATTTATCTACTGGTGATAAATATAGAGGACTGAGTGATCAATCCACATTGTCTGCTAACTATTTGCTAAAAATTTCCATCTGCCCCTTTGAGTGTACCTATACTAGGAATTATACAAACTTTTTCTAATCTTCCGTCTTCATTGTCCTCCCTCCACTGATTAATGAGCTTCTCAACTTTATCTCTTATATATGGAAGTAAAACCAGGAGTGCTAGAGATCCCTTTTCAAGATTTTCAGGAAGGCGCGTGCCAGAACTGAATTCATTGCTTGTTGATAACGGAACACGCATCAAACCATAGAAACATTCTGAGAACGATGCAGCTGCAAATGATGTTAATCACAATTATATATTGCTAACATTTTTTCTTTTACTTGATAGGATTTTTTTATTTAAATCTTACCATAATGCTTAAGGTAATGATACTGTAGACAACAGTCGAATAGCAGATATAGTTCATCATACCATTTCTCACTCCAACCACAGTTCCTGGGGTAGGTAGAGGCGATGTACTGAAGAAGAAATATAAAATAGAGTCTCTAAAATAATGAGTTATGTTAGTCAAAAGATAATGAAGTCAATAAGAATTTCTTTGAGATTGAAAAAGTTCAATAACGTCATCATGGGTCTCTTCGTGACCACGGCTGCTGCAAAGCATCCGAGACGTCGGGTCGAAGTTAAAAATCATTTTCAAATAAGTTTAACTAATGATATATTAGTTTAAACCGCGTAAATGATGTATTAGTTAAAAGCGTTTTAAACCGTTAAAGTGTTTTATTTAAATGTCATCATGGGTTTTATTATGTTGCATTAAAAACTGAACTTTTCATTTTTTTGTTTTGAAAGTGTAAAAACCTAATCAGACATGTTTTCAGTTGATATAAGCTAAGAGCAACAAGGCACAAAGGCAAACCTCAACAAGTTTTCTTAAAGCTGGCTTGACTGTTCCACCGAGAGCTTCTTGAGCAGTCACTTGAAAAACAGAAGGGGTGCCCTGAAGAGTTCTCGTTAAATGTGCTGCGTAAACTGCCATTTTTTTTAATTTTCCTACAATAAACTTGATATAATCCAAATCCTTACTAAGTAAATGTTGTTATTATAATTATAACAGACTATAGGAGTATACGACAAACATTGTTAATTCTGGTCCACGGTATAGATTTTGCCCTAAAAAGTCGTGTAAATTCTAAGCTGAAAATGATAAATTTTATTATTTCTTTTATAAATATTCTACAATATTTTAATTCTTATCAGTATTAAGCTGATAACATTTGTTTTGTACATGTCAAGCGTGACGTTGACGTATCCTCTTAATATTTTATGACAATTAACATATTTGTTTGATATACATAACCTAGAACCCTTGAAATTGAAAAAAAGCGCGGGAACCTTCGAATGAACCGGGTGTTTTATTTGATATTGAATTTTAAAATATTTTTTAAATTGATGTTAAATTGAGTTTGGCTTTGTATATATAATTTGTTTTCTCATTGTAAATTAGTGTAGATAGTTATTTTCTATTGGTAAGTCTATTTAATTGTATATTAGATGTAGTTTTTTTTTTCTCTCTTTGGCGGGTCAGTCGATGGACGACCCTCCCGCACCAACTACTTCAGAACCTAGTTCTCAACTGGGTCCTGAAGTAGCTAGTTATGTTACAGTTCCAACTATCAATACTAATTGTAATAATGTAGTATTAGATAAGTGGATGGATGCCACTCCTAAGAAACGCAGACGAAGGAAGCATGACAGTGATTCTTTAGAATCAAATAATAATTCCAATTCTGATGTTACTTTTAAAGAAACCACTACTAATAACAATAGTAATATGATTGAACAATCTTCTTTACCAGTTGTACGTTCTGAGTACTTACCAAGTGATTCCCGCCCTTATATTGTCCATGTTCAGAGATTGGAATCATCTCCTAAAGATGGTTCCACTTTGCATCCCATTACATTTGGTAGATTTTTAAAAAACTATAATATTAAAAACATAGTATCAGGCAGTGTAAAAAAATAGGCAGAAATCGTTGTGTTGTAGCATTTTCAACTCCACAAGATGCTAATGATTTCATTAAAAATGAAAATTTAAGCTTACATAAGTTAAGTGCCAAAATACCAACATTTAATGTTAGTCGTATAGGCATTGTGAAAGGAATACCATCCGAGTGGTCCCAAGAAGAAATTATAGATAATATTTCAACACCACCGGCTGTGGAAAAATTATATAAGTTAGGCGTATAAATTATAAGGTAGTTATTGATGGTTCTGTGTCTTGGAGACCTACACAGTCTGTAGTTTTAACTTTTGATGGGCAGGTTCTTCCTCAACGAATTTATGTTTGTTATAATTCCTTACCGGTAAATCTCTATATTTTTCCTACAGTACAATGTTTTCAATGTTGTAGATATGGTCACACTAAAACAATTTGTCGTTCCAAACCCAGATGCTACAAATGTGGTCAGGATCACTCAGGTGATTCTTGTTCTGTTGAGGAGGATTGTGCTTCATGCTTAATGTGTTCAGGATTTCACTATGCTACTAATAAGAACTGTCCAGAGTATAATCGTCAAAAAAATATTAAATCTAGTATGGCTCAAAATAATATTTCATACAACGAAGCAAGCAAACTTCACCCTCAAGTAGGTAAACTGTATGGAGATGTATTAAAGTCTCTCCCTGATTATCCCAGTTTATTAAATCAACCCAGTTTAATAAATCAACCCAATTTAATAAATCAACCCAATTTAATAAATAGACCTCATTTAAATAATTCAAACTCTTCATACAAAAAAACATATTTTTTAAAACCTAAATCACCTCCCAAAACAAATAAGGGATTTGATAAATTTGCTCATAATTCTTTAATTAGGGAAGGTCAGATTCCTACTCCGGAAAATGGGTGTGGTTATCAAGAATCTTCTGATAACACTGATGATTCCAATATCATGGAATTAATAACTTCTTTAATTAAGAGTTTATCAAAAACAAATACATTAAAACCGTCCAACGTTGCCACACTACATAAGTTAATAGATAGTATTAACATCAACAATGGATTCAGTAATAATACAATGGAATTGCAGAAGCTTAATACCTAAAAAGACAGATTTAATTTACATTATTAACAAATATAATCCTATAATAGTTTCTCTTAATGAGACTTGGCTGAAACCCAGTATTAATTTTCGCATTGCAGGCTATGTTTGTGTCCGAGATGACAGATTTGATGGGTATGGTGGTGCTGCCATACTCGTTAAAAAAACAATCCCGTTCACTCGTTTAGTTTTGCCATCTCACAACAATAAATTTATAAACAGTGTTGGAATTTGTTTAAATAAAAGTTTCTCCATTATTTCCACTTACATATCTCATAATTCACAGTCTACTTATAATTATTTAAGAACTTTAATAGGGTCATTTTCTACCCCTTTATTGTTGCTTGGTGATTTTAATTCCCAACACCGATACTGGGGAAGTAGCATTACCAATAGTAGTGGGGAACAGCTTTTAGGTATAATAGATATGTTCAATTTATGCATTCTTAACACGGGTCTCCCTACACGTCGTACTAAAGCAAATGAAAATATAAGTGCGATAGATCTTTCTATTTGCTCGCCAGAATTGGCTTCATCTATATTATGGCGTCCTCTGGAAACTTCATTTGGAAGTGACCATTATCCGCTAATGATGACAGTTCCGATTAAAAATAGTTACAATAAGGTTAAAAAAACACGATTAAAATATATATTAAAAAATGCTGATTGGGGCAAATTTAAAGAGAACGTTGAAAGCCGGATTGAAAATCTGCCAGAAATTTCTGCAGGCCATGAGGATGCTTGTTCTGAACGTCTGGTTATAATATTTATTGAATCAGCAGATGATACTTTTCTGCATAAATCCACTAATAGTTCAAAACTCAAATTTCCAGCATGGTGGGATAAAGAATGCACTAACGCTGTCAAAGAAAGAAAGCGTATGGAAAGAATTTACGCGCATGATATGTCCGACATAAATTTTGAAAATCTCTCTCAAACTATTAATTTTACCCGGTCACTTCTTAAAACAAAAAAACAAGAAGGGTGGAAATCTTTTTGTTTATCTTTGTCCCCTGATACTTCTCCTGGTGAAGTGTGGAAAAATATTAGACGTTTTCGATCAGCTTTCAAAGAACAATCATCCGATATTTCTAAGGAATTAGCTCATAAATTTATAGATAATCTGGCACCTCTTACGGTTCCGGAGTATATTGATAGGATACCCTCAGTTATCTCCCCTACAGATCATAATTATAGTTCTTTAGTAGGATGTCCATTTATTTTAGAAGAACTCAAAGGAGTTCTTTCGTGTGTTAAAGATTCTTCGCCGGGAATGGACGAGATTCCATATTCCTTTTTATCTCACCTATCAGAACCATGTTTAAAATATTATTTAGACCTAATAAATTCAATATTGATGTCTGGGAACATTCCTCGGTCTTGGAAATTGCAAGAAATCATACCTATTTTAAAGCCAAATAAATCCTCAAGTGAGGTAGCATCCTATAGGCCAATTGCTTTATCATCTGTTCTTTGCAAAATTTCAGAGCATTTAATTAAAAATCGTCTAGAGTGGTATTTGGAACATAACCGACTTCTATCGAGTCAATTTGGGTTTCGCAAAGCAAAGAGTGCCATTGACAACATCTCCATACTAACTTCAGACATCAATATCGCTTTTTCATGTAATCAACATGTTGTTGCTGCGTTTGTTGATATTCGTTCAGCATACGACAATGTTGTCATCTCGATACTACAAAAAAAACTTTTGAAACTTGGTATTCCTTATGTTTTAATTAATTTTATTATATCATTACTAGAACAAAGATATATATTTTTAAACATTGATGAATCTGTCCAATTAAAACGTACAATAAGTAGAGGTCTCCCTCAAGGATCAGTCTTAAGTCCTCTGTTGTATAATATTTACACACATGATTTGGCTGATTCACTCAATTCCACTATTAACATCCTTCAGTACGCGGATGATCTAGTTATATACACAATAGATGCTAATTTAAACTGTGCTGGTAATTTTTTAAATCAAGGTCTTACTTGACCTTAAATGCTGGCTCGATAAAAATGGATTAGATGTTTCTGTCCATAAAAGTGTCGCCGTTGTCTTTACAAGATCGCGAATGATTCCTAGGGTTAATATTAGTTTTAATGAGAAGCAGATACCACTTCAAAATCATACAAAATTTTTAGGTATAATCTTGGATAGTAAAATGACTGGTACTTTTCACGTTGAGTACATATGTACAAAATGTGAAGGTATACTTAATTTATTAAGATGTCTTTCGGGAGTTTGGTGGGGTGCTCATCCTTATTGTATGAAATTGGTCTACAATGCTTTGATTCGAAGTATTCTGGACTATGGTATGTTTTTATTAGAAAGCGGTAACGTTACAGCACTAAAAAAATTAGATCAAATCCAAGCTAAGGCTCTGAGAATTATGTTAGGTGCTATGAAATCCAGTCCTATTAATGCTCTTCAGGTTGAAGGTGGGAACCCTCCGTTCAAGATCCGAAGGCAATACTTATCTGATAGATTTTTATTCCGTATATTACAATACAGTAACCATCCATTAATAAACAAGCTAAAAACTTTGAACGATCGGATAAGTACGTCAACTTTCTGGAAAAATAGATCAATGCCTTGTTTAATTATAAGTTACCGTAAATTCATTTCAATGTCTACCCATATTTTTCAGTCTCCAGTACTATCGCTGTATACATATAATTTCCAGTGCCTTTTGATCAAACCGCATATAAACTACAATATAGGAATCAATAAGAACGAAGTAGAATCAAATATTAACTTTAGGTTTAATATCGATAAGAAATGGCGTGATTGGCATCACATTTATACCGATGCCTCTAAAGCCGACTCTTCCACTCTTTGCTGTGTTGGAGTTGGAATATATCACGTTCAATATAAGATTACACAAAAAATAAAGTTACCGCCTGAGTCTTCTGTATTTACTGGAGAATGCTTTGGACTCCTGAAAGCATTAGAATATATTTTATTAATGAAACTCCCTAGATCTGTTATTTTTACTGACTCAATGAGTTCTCTGCAATCTTTAGACAAATATCCTTTTTATAATAAACCATATTTTCCTGTTATATTTGAAATAAGAAATAAATTAGCTGAATGTAAGAATTTCGGTTACTTGGTGACCTTTGCTTGGATCCCAAGTCATTCTGGAATCGAAGGAAATGATAGGGCTGATTCCTTGGCAAAGGATGCGGTGCATTGTGGGGATATATATCCATACATTAGCTATAGCCATGACCTCCTTTCATTGCCGAAAAGATTTCTCTTTGAAGCATGGAATAAGGGTTGGGCAGAAACTGGACAGTATAAGGGAAGGAACTATTATAACATTCAACCGACAATACCAATAAAACCTTGGTTTTTTGGTGTTGATGCAAGTAAAATAATAATTTCCACTATAAGTCGCATGAGAATTGGACATATGTGTATTCCTAGTCATTTAGCCAAAATTGGTGTTTTAAGTAATGCTACTTGTGAGTGTGGTGAGGAAGAGGGAAATATAGATCATATATTTTTCTCTTGCCGCCTGTATGACCATTCCTCCTTTTATTCCTCTTTAATTTCATCGAATATTCCTCTTCCTACTCGTATGTCCTATCTATGTATGTATCCTAAAAAACATTTTAAGATCATTTCTCATTTTATATTTATTAATAACGTAAAACTGTAGTGTTTATATATTTTTATTTTATCTACAATAATATATTAATTTTGCCTAACTCTCCTGATCACGATATATAAGCCGTCATAATATCCTTTTTTTCCGTGTAAAGTTTCCCTACCTTTAACCACAGCCTTTAACTTGACACTGGCAAATAGTTAGTTCTTCTTGCCACAAATGAAGAAAAAAAAAAACCCTTGAAATTAGCAATGGTAATACCAGTGGTAAAAAAAAAATATATATTATCACGCTTCGTCTTTGCACACATAGATATTTAAAAAAACTAAAAAATTTTTTGACAATAAAAATCGACTCTTGCAAAATTATAAAATCGTTAAACTGCTTTTGCCATGATGAGATTTTCACCTTTCAATATTGAGTTATTTGCAAAAAATTATCTACTTTGTTATTTATTTAAAACGCTATTGTAAAAATAAAATCATTTGAATATGATATGACTCTAGTAAGTTAAAAAAAATCTATCACGGCAGAAAATAATGTTTTTGAAATGAAAGCTAAAAAAAAATAGCAAGCAAGCCCTAGTATTTGAAAACTTTAATTAATTTTTACATGTTATTACACATGAAGGCACTATAAAAATCGAAAATAAATTGAAAAAATGTTCGACTCGGGCAGGACTTGAACCGGCATCGTCAGCGTTCCGTCAGAGCAACAGCACGGAAGCCCTAGTATTTTACGTTAACGAATGTATAATTGGGATAGAAAAATACATAGTCTTTAGCATGTAGATATTCGTTAAAAAGACCCGTCAATATCGGATCGTACGTCCTCTTACTGCTCATTATTCTTGGTGACGGATGTACATTAGATTTTTTTACCTTTAACACAAAAATATAGCTTGACAAATTTAGACACGCTAGAAAAAGACATTTACAAAAATTAGGTAATACCTTAAGTCTAAGCCTTAGGGCTTAAGTTATTAGTAACTTGCAGAAATCGTTTAGTGTCAGTTTTTAAGTGCTTAAATTGGGGATTATTCTAAAAGTAATATTAAGAGCTGACGACTTGGGCAAGAGATTTTATATATTTGTCAAATGGTATAAAACTGTAAATAAATATTAAAATACTTTATTAATCTTATTGCAGAGGTAAGTATAACACAATGTGTACAAAAGCAAAGTGCAGTTGAATAATTATTCATTCAAAACTAAGTACCTGTGCAGACAAGCTAAGCTCAATTTCTTGAATTTCCTTAATCTTCCTTCTTGATGCATTTTATTTCCTTCGAGATTGTCTATATAATAAATACTAAAAGTTTTATTTAGCCCTTTGCCTTTTTGAAATAATACTTACTTGAAAATTATTTACTACAACACAATATCGGACATGTCACTAACATTTTAATAAGAGTGCAGGAAATCATAAGTAAAATACCAATACACTATACTGATTAACAAATCAGTATTTATACAAGAAAATTATCACATTTCCTTTAAAACATATACTTATGACTAAGCACCATTTTATAAATTGTTGAATTTTTATATTATCTATAGTAACTTACAAGGGTGTCAAATTGAACAGAGAGTGGAAATAAATATTTTTTATCTATGAAAGCACCATGAAATGAACTTAAAAAGGAGAAATTTAGCTAACAAGTTTACATTTAAAAAAAATGTGTATTATCCATAATGACAATGTTTTTGCCTCTTTTGCTCTACTACCTTCTTTAAATGTTAACAAAATACTCAAATAAAATTAGAATATATATTTAAGGGGTAATCCCAAATGATACTGTCATTATAGACCAAATTTGCTGAATATAAATTAATTATATCATTTTCATATCATATATATTTTATTAAAATTAATTAACCTTGCGGTTTACACTAATCGTAATAAGTAAGGCTTATTTTTCTAAACGTCTTTTCATAATAACTTGATGACTCGTCAATGTATGGCGTGGAACTATTTTTAATAAGACAATATATCTTGCATAAGCATTCCTAATATAACTCTGTTATTTTAATGCATTTGTTCCTTCGTCAGATATAAAAAAAAAACACTATATTCTTGACCATAACAAAATGAAGGAATCTAGTTTTTTCTAAATAGGTTGATAATATATTTCAGTGAATTAAATATTTAAAAATAAATTAAATGTCTGCATCATCATTTCATATTTGAATTACTAAAGTAACCAACAGACGCATCTGCAGCAAAAAAAGCCTTTTTAATACTCCTGGCTACAGCCAAGCTTTCACTAGTATGACAAAGTCTGTATCCACTGTTAACTCCTGTACTATGAGGCAGTTGTATTGTACTGGGGTCGACCTGCCATCTCCAGCAGATATCTGTCCGGGTGCTCAATCCAGTCGGCTGCAGATATTTTGACCTGTTAAATTAAGTTGCTTGATTAGTTACTAACTAGACACAATTCTATAGAAACAGCTTAAAAACCGAAAATATTTTCTCATGTAACAAAGGTAAATAATTACGTTTCTATGTCGTTCTGCCTCCTTGACTTGCCATTTCTTGACGTCCAACTGAGATTCGCGCAGCGCGCAGTCTCCACATCCCCATACCTAAGATATACACAAGACAGAAATGGTTTTTTTAATTGCATACGCATATTTCTAAGTTGTTAAAATGTAGTTTAATATTATACAGTCTACAACATGCATTTTATGCATACAACTAAAGGAAACACGGAGTCGTTTACATAGTTTTACATAGTTTTATTATACAACACTATTATGTTATAAGTTTTCTTATTTCTTTTTCTACTTTCACCAATATAGCAAAATTACCTCTATCGCCTTTAGTGGATATGGAACGCCTTTAAAGGTGAACGCGTCGAAACCCTCATTGATGGAGAGGATTGGTGCCCTGGGATCGGACCCAGCGCGGAGTCCCTTCGGGTACCCTCTGATGGACGTATTCAGATACAGCATACGGGGTGCACGTTCAACTAACGAATATCTAGAAGATATATTGAAGGTAATTTAGACGAGACCCTTAACGAATTATTATTAATAACGCCATCGTCCATTGTTTAAGAACAACAGCAGATGTATTCAACTACTGTACTACTACTTCTGATAACCTGAATGATAGCTTAGTTTTGTTGCTGAATGATGTTCTAAACATTTTCAGACATCAGTTTGTACTCACAAATACAAAATTTGGGAGTGGGAAGACTGAATTTATTGTCCAGAGATATGCCGATAAAACAGGCCCGAATAAAAACGACAACACATCCTCCCGAATGACTGTGGCTCTCCACCTACCATTAATTAAACCTCATGCACTCACGTAGGGTAGAGCTGCAGCAGAGCGCAGTCCGGTCCACCCCAATACTGGTGCGTCTCTCTCCACTCCTGGGATGAAGCCACCACCACAGTGACACTTTCGCCACCTTCCGCGCTTCCGGCGACCACGACTAGTGTAGGGCCTCTGGAAAATATATCTTACTATTACGGCACAAAAAATCTTAAATCTCAAATTAAATGAGAAATACATAGTAAGTAATAATATACTTAAGTTCATTATCACTTTGTTTTACAATAGTTTGCCCATTTATATGAAACAGTTTCAAACACGAAATATATTAATTAAACCTAGCTGCGACCACGGCTGCTGCAAAGCATGCGAAACGCCTGAAGTTAAATTTATAAAAAATAGGATTAACTAATATTTTACAAACTGTTAAATATGTTTTATTTAAATGTGTACTACAGAAAGTACTTAATATGACTACTATTAAATAGTATCTTAAAAACAGTTAAAAAGTTAACTATAAAAATTTCAAGGGGTTTTCTTTAATAAAAGCTTTTTTTATATGAATCAAAAATAATTTCTCACCTGTATGCCAAAGTGTGGTGTAGAAACCTATTAGCGCCCAACCCATGTTCGTTGGAGGAGTAGAGTGGTACCCAGTGGGAGGGTAGGGCGCACACGAGCCGAGACATCCACGCTGCGCTTGCGCTGTTGCTACCACTGTGCGCTACTGGAGGGGGTTTCAATGGGCGCGTGTATACCTAGAGTAGAAGAAGACATTACTTAAAGGTTTCGGTATTAGCCCCTACCTGAAACTTAACTTTAAAAATTCTAATTATTTTCTGGCAGAGACGGTATTTGTATAGTGTTAAAATAACGAGCCTTAAAACTTTAATACCGTGCACGCGTTCGCGAATTCCTAGCTCTATTTCCTTCAAGTCGCTGCGAAGATCTTGCATTTTGTTTTGCAAGACGAACCTGAACATTCGACGATAGAATCTCTGGCTCGCGATTGCGACGCGTACACTCTAATACTTTACAAACGTTTTTAGAAAGACGACTCTCCAATACGAGGAACTATTCAAGTTCAAAGCGATAGTTCTGAAAAGAACTTTGACAAACATTATGCAAAGTGTAATTCCCAATACTAAAACTAAGTAGCTTTGAAAAGAACTTTTTAAGTGAAGCATAAAAATGTTTAAAAATATCGAAATATTCAATGTCGTTCGCGCCCACTGCGAAAAGAGCCCACTGCCCCTCTATCGTCGAATTAGGTACTCGATGCGCGGCGTGGCGGATGTATTTTTTTTTCAATTTCGTGATATCTTTTAAATGGAATGTCCGATTTAAATAATTAAAAAAGTAATCATCAGGTATTGAGAGAGTCTTGAATATTAAATTATTTATTCGGATAAAAATGTATAAATAGTATGGATAACACGGTCTCATTTTGATCGGCAATTCTATTAATTTGTTAAATGTAAAATGTAGTTATAGCGACGTAACTACATTAGTTAGACATATGCTCTCGCGATGTTTTTGTAGATACATATAATATTATAAAGAGGAAAGATGTGTATTTTTGTATTTTATGGATAAACTCAAAAAGTACTGATCAAAAGGACCGATATTAATAATTATTTTTTAATTAGAAAGCTACATTATCCCTGAGTAACATAGGCTGTATTTAGTACTTGATTACTATAGGCTACTAAAACTAACGGAAAGCGTAAAAAAATTGCCGTAAAATGTCTTTCTTCGCATACGCTGCGAAAAGTATTAAAGATAGGACAAAAAAATGTACGACAATATGTAGGATATAAGTACATATATTAATATAGATATGACATCATGTGCCATAATATGGGAAAAGAATTAATGTTTTCAAACGTTAAACTTTGTAATTTCATCTTTAATGATTTTTTTGAGCTGAAAAGTATAAGATATTGAACTTTAATATGCCAGTGTTAAGGTTGAAATTACACTGCGCAAGAGGTGCACGTATTAATAAATTTAAAAAAAAATCGACGATGACGTGTAACACTAGCTCAATTGGTAAGAGCAACAGCGCGGAATGCTGTGGATGCCGATTTCAGCCCTGCTCGTGTCGTAATTTTTTTTTTTTAAATTTGTAATCCATTCTTGAGATGTACTCCAAAAAAGGCTTGATTCATTTTTGTATTTTATTTAGTAGATATAAACATTCAAAAGGGTCACAACGAAAAAGTAGTTATTACCTGTGGTAAAGTAGCAGCTACCAACCAAGCAGCAGACACAGGCAACAACGCAACAGTAGGCCCGACCCTGTCTAACACGGGCGTAGCCAATTCGATACCCGTCCCACTCTCGCCCGGACTGGACTCCAACTGAGACTCCAGTTCACGGTGACGAGTAGCCAGAAGATGAACACAATATCTGTAACGATTTCAAATATCATTAATTACTACACAACTTTAACTGCTGCTGGAAACTAATCTAAATAATAAATATAAGCGAGATTTTATTGAAACGAGCAACTTGCTTTTATAGAAATATACGTGAATATTGACTATGACACCTGCAACAGACAAACCCACATACAACAAATGAAAACCATTTTTTCACTCAAGACTAAATTAGTTTCTATATGTCTCTCGAGGCCAAAAGTTGGCCCTGCAGCCCATTTGACAACAGCTGATAATAAAAAAATAAATTAAGGGCAGTATAGGTAAAATAATATACTTTATTTAACTAAGACGAATGTTCGGGCCGAAGTTTCGTTCGAACGATGGCTAATACTGTGCAAGCTTAGCCACCGTGTTTCGCCTACTTTCACAGAATTACCAAGACATACCTATGCACAGGAAAGACTAGGCGATGACAATGCTCCTCCAGCCAACGGACTACAAAATTGACGCTATGCGAGTCTGCCTTGTTGAAACACCCCCCCACCACGGCGGTCAGCGTCTTATTAATCTAAAAAAATAGGTAATGTATAAGTAAGTTCTATAGTCCTTCCAAATAAACATAATCTGCAAAAGCACCCGAAACGTTGGGACGTAGTTAAAATAATTGTTATATAAGTTTAACTAATATAATTCTCGTTTCAAACTGTTAAACTTAAAGTGTTTCATTTAAAATTTAGCTTAAATTTGTACGCAATCAAAGGATATCCTTCCTTAAATTTTGTTTGTATTAATCGTTTGGCTAAGTAAACACAACAGATCATACCAGCATGCATGTCTGTGGTCCTTCGGGATAGTAGTCCATAGATAATTTGTAGCTAACATAGAGAAGGCTGCGTAGATCGTCCGGGGTCACTGACGCCTCTTCGGGATCTGTGCAAAACATTCTGAAATAAAAACGCACAGATTATATTATTTTGTGAAGGCTTTTCCTATTCGGTATTTCAATGCGGTAAACTATCTGAAAAGTTTTTTGCGTATTCGAGTGAAACACGCTGTTTTTTTTATTTAAAAGTTTTTATTATTAAATATCTTATAATGGCATTATAAGATATTTACAGTAAACTTATAACTCAATTGCGCAAATAGAGTAAAAATATATAAATAATAATTACACAAGAAATCGAAATCGGTCTCAGTTGTGCTGTTGACTTTTGTTTTCAGACTGGCCCGGGTATAGATAAATTGTATATTGTTTTTATTTACATTCTACTATAAATGAATCATAGCAAATATTATATACTACTAGGTATACTAAAATAATAAGAGAAGTAATTTAATTTTTCTTATAGCATTTTTTTCTACTAGTTATTTGCTAGTCTAGTGCTGTTCTACTATTTAATATATGCATATTATGTATGTATATACTCTACTGTACTGAACTCACCTAACATATGTATCGATAATCGCATTGTCGTCAAGAATCGCTAATATTCTCTCGCACTGATGCCGAAAAGTGGCCAGCGGGATGTGCTTGTTCTTGCACTTCCCCAACTTGTGGATGTATCTGTAGAACTGTCTCGCCAATTCGGGGTACCGGGGGAAGAGGTATTTCTGAAAACGTTACAGGTTCAATGATAAATAAATGTAGGGAAAACGGGACTTTACACATGTGTGTGTTTATACTCACTGTAAAAGAATTTTCTGTAACACCGTTGACTCCATCCTCTTTTTGTGAACGTTGAACTAGCAGCTGGAAATGAAATATTTCTCTGTTAATACAAGCTATAAACAAGAATAACATTTTCAGCTAAATATTTTGAATATAATTTTTATATACATCTTATCTTAAGGATATTGTTGCCATTGAATAAAGAACTTCTAAACATTAATTTTTGCGAATGTTTTTAAACCTAATTCATTAGACAAAGATCTTATCGCTAATATTAATTTTCGACATAGCACAATTAAATATCAACGCTATCACCGATTAATGTTCAAAATAGTCGTTTTACATAACGAATTACGTAGTTATGCACCGTGACCGATAAAAAATGTAATTAAAAACGTTCTTGTCTGTACTTTACAACCTCAATCGACGACCATGACTTTGAATCAAATGTATTACAATTATAATAAAAATCGAATTAAATTGTCCTCGTATGTGATTTCAAAGACAATAGCAGAGCCTTTAAGGCGCAATCAAGTATCCTTCTTTTTTAAAGGTTCTATGTCTAAAATATAAAAACGGGACATATAATACTTCGCTGTCTTCTTTTCACCAGGCTGTACAGTTAGATTTGAAATATTCAAAATAAAGAAGAATTAAAGGAGACTCCTATACAAAAAGAACGCCACTTTTGGAATAATATAGATACATATATGTATGTGTAATTGTTGTTTGTCAGCGGGACAGAGCCCTTTGTGTTCGTTTGCCAGTCCGACTCTCGCTTGGCCGTTTTTTATTACTAGTTTATTCTGCCAACTAATAATGTAGATAAGTTAACGCCAGAAAAGATATCTTGGCGAAGTATTTTACGATATAATACCGATTCGAATAACATTTTCACACACAAATATTATTTTTTGAAAGTTTACAAAATAAAATCGTACAATACAAGGTTACCGGGTTATGCAAAAGTTTTAAAATAGGTTGGCCTGCCTGATTTCCTTATTAGTTTTAGATTGATTTATTGCCTTTTATCACTTTATTACTTTCGAAAGTGTATCACTCTAGATATGGGGAATTCACCGTTAAGTAAACCAGTATGAGGGCTTTACCCAGTTAAAGTTATATTTTATACGAGCTGTACCTCGCGGATATTTTCATGACTAATATAATTACTAGGTCTATACTGACATCTGTTTTTACAAAATGAAAGTAGATCTAATTACTCCTAACAGCATCTCCTATATGCCAGAGAGAAACCGCGAAAATCGGCAGTTTCGTTTCGGACATTTCCCGGAACAGAGAAAACCTAACAAAGATATAACGATAAGAAGCAATTATATTTATAATATATCTTAATATGAATTTAGAGTTTTAAAATAAGTAAATAAGTTTTTCGTAAAGCAAGAACAAAAAAATAAATTCAGTATTTAATTTATCTATTCCATTATCATTACGTTTATTCAACGAAAAACGATTGAAACAGTTCAAAACACGAAATATATATTTGATAATTAATTTAAAACTGCATCTCGAACTTTAAAGTGGTTTGTAGCCGAATTTATGATGTCGAAAAAAATATTAGTATATTTGGCAGTTACAACCGTTTAAAATGTTTTCTTTACGTAGATTACATACATTATTTATGTTCACTATTATAATAAAATATGTTTATGTATATATTGCTTTATCAACTTTTTGCCCCATTCTTCAATAGCAATGAGACTTTTCCACTTATATTAAGTGCCACAGATACTTTTGCGGCTTCCACTATCAATTATAACTAAGAAATGCCGCATTCGTGAAAACCAATTATATAATTATGATAGAAACAAAAAGTCGTACGTTAAACATGAAGGTTTATAGCAACAATTTTTTTTTCTGAAACTTTCAAATTCCTGTGTGAAATACACTAGTGCGTCATTGGTAGGTAAAATTCGTTATGTTATTTTAATTGCTTTAGATGTGTAACAATTCTGTTTGTTTCTACCTGTCGGGATTGATACGTTCGCTCATTATAATCGTTATAAATATTTGAAAGAAATGCATTCCATGCTGCGTAAAATATTCATCATGTATAGTAATTATAAAACGCATTCCCTATTTAGTCACCGTACCTTACAAGTGGGTTTAACACACGTCTTCTTCTTCTTCAGGTTTCGAACCTGTATACCGACAATCGTGAAGCGAAGGTGTGTGACGTTAGCGGGCACCACCATCGTAACTTCACTCACAACTAAACAAACAATCAGCGATGAAATTCGATAAGATTATAGCTACTTGCCCGATTGATTGTAATAATTGTGATTTTATTCGTCTCTGATTGCAAATGCAATATAGCATAAGAGCTGACCACAAGAAGCGGCCATTAGTGCCATAACTTAAGATTCATACAATTAGTCATACATTAAGTCTCAAAATTTATTAAAAATATTCTAGCAATTAAAGTACAAGAATAATCTTAGTCTGTATTGCAAGATAGTCTCTCTCTGTCTTACAATGTTTATGTATTAAAAAAAAGCTTCGCAGCTTTCGAAAACGTCGGGCCGTATTAAAAATAATTTTTAAATAAGTTTAACCAATATATATTTAAACCGTTTTATTTAAATGTGTACTACTCGCGTATATGTAGGTAGGTTTTATAAGTAAAGGATTATTTTTTTTATTTGGCTTACAAACAATACGTTATTGTATACTCAAAACTTTTCAATATATGACAGCTTTTTGTTAACTACTGATGACGCTTGTAGGTGACATACTTAAAGATTTCATGTTTTAAGGAATGTCAGATAAATAATAATCGATCACAGACCAGATCTTAGTATAATTGTTATCTAACTTTAGATCCTTTAGATTACCAACTTACCAACAGTCAATAGAATGCGATCGATAGTCTTAACAATATACAAAGGAAGTAAATTATTTACAAAAAAAATACGCTAAAACACCGCTCTCATTCTTTCGAGGTCGTCAGCTCCTAGCACGTGTGTGGCGGTCATGTGAATTCACTTATCAGTGATATTCCATGTAATTAATCACTCAAATATCATGTGAGTGTTTGTTTACTTGTAAGAGTAAATTTGCCTAAACTACACGGATATTATTGATGACTTTCAGTTGGTTAATGATTGATTACTTATGTTTAAATAAATGCAGTTATATGTATAGTTTCACTGAATGGTCAATGTATTCCAAACTAAGACACACACATATGGGAAGCAACGACACAACTAAAGATAAGATCAACATACCAAAGATGGAACAGATGCAAGAATTTTGTAAAGTAACCAAAAGGTGTGAAGGGAGTGCAGGGAGAGTGGGATAACCCGTCATTGTCTGCTAAAGCAGAAAGGGGAATTAGGTGGAATGGTGAACAGCCGATGTGAACTGATCACCCAGCCTTCTATGGGGGTTCCCCCCATAAAATAATAATGTATATAGTTTTAACTTTTTATTTTTACTTGGGGCACTAATAAGTGTCATATTTCTGAAATCACAATAATGATATTAAGTGACATCTACTGCTATGTGCTATGACTGATCTATTAGTATTGCAAGCACACTGCGCACTGTTTGAGGACAGTGTTTAACACAACAAATGACTGTTCATTGTTTTCCTTCCTTAATAATTTGCACTTTACTCAAAGTAAACTGTGTTTGCTTAAGTCATTATCATAACCAGAATGTTGGAAGGAATAAACTTTTGTGCATGTATGTCTTCATTATTTCATTTGATGAGCATAATATATATAAATAAATAAACAGTATCTTAGAAATTTAGGAAACCAAATGAGGAATAAATATTTAAAAAAAAGTCCATCTCAGTCAGCTATAACTGTTAATTAAAATTAAGTGAATTAAAATTTTGAATTTTGATTTTGAGAGAGTAACAGTTGGTAACACTAATAAAAATTGTTACAATTGCTTAGTGTTTTAATATGATATAAATTCAAAAAAGCAATTATGAAAATCTATAATTTATAGAGACTTTTGTAGCCATTTGTAAAGTTACTGCGGGTTCTGGCTGTTTAGCATTGAAAGATTTAGAAGTTTTTATTTATAGTTATAAAGCTATAGCCATAATTGATGCTATTCACATAGGTCTGCAATTAAGTTCCCGGGTTTCACACATAGATGCCGTTAGCAATAAATGTAGTCGACGTACATGTCTGAATTCGTATTTTTTTACTAGCTTGGACATCTAGTAACAATAACCAGTGGTAATATCAATAAGTACCGCAGCGTACAAATATTTTTTTTAAAGAGAAAGATGTCGAGTTTTAATTAGAATAAACGGCATTTGCAGGAAGTTTTACTTTTCAACTTCAACTTAAAAAAAATTTAGTTAAAGCGCGTCGTTTGCTCGAGGAGGCCTACGGCGCACACGCACCATCAAAAACTACCTATGAAGAGTTGTTTAAACGCTTCAGGAGTGGTGATTTCGACATCGAGGACAAGGAGCGCACCGGTAGACCAAAAACAATTGAGGAAGTCTATCTGCAAGCGTTATTGGATGAAGATGACACACAGACACAAGACCAACTTGCGGAGGCATTAAACGTGACTCGCCAAGATATTTCCAAACATTTACATGCTATGAGAAAAATGTTAAAGGAAGGAAAATGGGTGCATGAGTTGACTGAGCGACAGATGGAAAATCGAAAAACCACTTCCAAAATTTTGCTTTTGCGGTATGAAAGAAAGAGTTTCCTCTATCGGATTATTACTGGCGATGAGAAGTGGATATTTCGAGAATTCCCAAACGCAGAAAATCGTGGGTTTCTCCTGGTGAAGCATCAACATCGACGGCACGGCCAAACCGCTTTGAAAAGACAATGCTTTGCATTTGGTGGGATCAAAAAGGTATCCTGTACTACGTAGCTGCTGAAACCGGGTGAAACTGTCAATGGGCATCGCTACCGACAGCAATTAATCAATTTGAACCATGCCTTGCTCGAAAAACGGCCAGAATGGAACACAAGACATGAACGAGTGATATTGCAACACGACAACGCACTGTGCCATCGCAGTAAATTTGTCCAGGGCACCATCAAACCGCTGAAATGGGATCTGCTGCCGCACCCGCCTTATTCCCCGGACCTCGCCCCTAGGTGATTATCACTTGTTCATGGCTTGTCTGGGCTACACTTAACTAATTACGAGGAAGTGCAAAATTGGTTAGATGAATGGTTTCAATCCAAAGATTTGACACCTTTTATCGTCGTGGTATCCGTGTATTGCAAGAGAGATGGCAAAAATGTGTAGCTAGCGAAGGGAGATATTTTGAATAAACCATTTTTTGTATGTATCTTGAAATTTTCTTATTTTTATTGATCAAAAAAACTCGGAAACTTAGTTGCACAACTAGCATATGAAAGTTTACAATAATACATATAATAAAATTTCTAATTTTGATAAGTGAGAATATTTTGTTTTGCGGGTAAAAATTAAAACTTTGGACATGCATAAAAATTTATTAATTTATGAAGAGGAAACTAAGTAAACTTAATTTTTTTAATACAGAATTACTAATAGCAGGTATAGATAATTCATCTTTAATCAACCATTTAAGACAGTATCTATGTATAGATATCTAAGTATATCTTGTGAACGCAACAAAATGATGTCATTATTTGTTTTGGTTATCAATATGAACACTAACACTTGAATATTTTGTTTTCTGTTAGGAGATGACAATAGATCTGTGTATATTCTTTCAAAAAAGAATAGGACAATGCAACTATAAGACAGGTTGCATTATTACATTTTGAGTTGAAATGCAAATATAAATTATTATCTCTAGTGGTCTAAGATAACACAAAGATTCTTACAACTAGGTATTCAAAATGAAAACCATGAACTATCTGCCTTCCATATTGTAATGCAAATGTTCGTTAACCTTACCTTTCCGAGTTTTTCTACTGGAACAAGAGACAAGGGCGCCGCGGGTTCAGGTTTTTCCGGTTGACCTTGCACTTCCCCGTTGGACCCAGATCTATTTCCTCGCGTAGATCCACGAGGGGTACTAGTCCCACTACCACTTCCATCTGTTCCAGACTTTTCATGACTGCTGTGGTTACCCATGACTGATAAATAATTAGCACAAATACTGAAGAAAAAACTGTGCGTAATACACCGCAATACACTATAAACTATATCTTAAAGAATACTTTGACATGGTGTTTTCTGAGAACTAAAATGTTATGAGTAACAACTACGAAACTAAACTTAATACCAAACAAAATTAATGATACAAATCTTCCATGACAACCGATAACTGACCGTCATACACCATATGTAAAGTCAATCGTCAAATTAGAATGATCATTTGACAGCCAGCTTGTCTTAAAATTTACTATAGATAATGCTATATTATTATTTCTATTTTTAATATTTTATGGCCTGGCAACGAGACCTTTAAGCCAGATAACGATTTATACACGCAGAGTCGGCAAGCTTATTTTGAGGGTAGATTATGTTTTATTTGACACACATTTTTAAGTTAAATACTGCTTATTGATAAAATTAATACTCTATTTAAATCAAAAGATTAAAACATTATCAGGAAAAAAATATACATATAATGATGTGCAAGTATTTTATTACTTAACCTATTATCAACATTACTCGTGTAACGAAAAACAAGTTCCAACTACTTACAATGTCCCGAACCACTTTAATATTGTATGACTGTGTACTAAAAAAAACTATATGAGACAAAAATGTTAACTTAGTAAAACTTATAACTTAAACATATACATTGTAAAATAAATTAATATTATTATTAACAATATAAAGCCTAAATCACATGTTGTATACTATACATTACTTGGTACAAAATTGGTAAAACCATTGTGTTAATTTAGTTTATTTTTGGGGCGCTTTGAGTATTTTTCTTAAGTTTAGGTTTACTCAAAAGCAGAGTAACTTGAATACAGAACGTAAACGGCACGACGCTGGTTGTTGGCGCGGGATTGTATTACAGCGAAGTCCCCTGTAAACTCGTACGGGCCAACAAAATTCTAGCTTTTCCGGTTCTTACCATACATATGGTTGATTGTGAAAGAATATCGGTCAAATTACATGCCAAACGACGCCCGTAAGAACCTCTGTACGGGCATCTCAACCAGTAAATGTAGGGGCACCGATGTCAGATATGTCATGAACATAGTCGCCAACCAATGACCACCCTGTGCAAAAGAAATTATATTAATCTGTTCGATTATTTACCTGAATTGAATTGAATTTCTCTTATTCCTTTTAAATAATTATTGTATTGCATTACATTTAATATTATTGATATAAAAGTGTAAACTTACAATTTCGTAGATGGACATTTTGTTTAGGTTGGTCTGGAGCGATATTTGTATGAGGCTGAAAGTCCAATGTGTCATCAGGACACACAGTGACATGCGACCTATCACCTGCCACCCTGACCACGACATGAGCCGCCACCAGAATTCTGAAAAAATCCAAAGCCTAGTTTTTATATTGATTATATTAATTGTGAGTAACGCTAAGACTATACTGAATATATTGAATTGACAATAGACATACTGATTTTTTTGCATGATAATATCATTTATAATCTAAAATCGCGCTAATCTCAGGAATATTGGTTCAATTTTGTGTTAAGGCTAGGAGGAAGGCTACTTAACATCAAGCTGCGACGAATAGGAGCGAAGTAGCAGTGGAAAATGTCAAAGCAGCAGTAACAAGTAGCAACAACGGTTTAATGGTAATCAAATTTGGTCGAAATTAATGCTTTATTACCATTTTTTGTTAGAATTGTATTAATATATTTATCTTAAAAACAACAAAACAACGTTTGTTGAAACGTATGTTATACATAGACAATACATCTAGAGTGCTTAGGAATCTAGAAAATCGGCCTTAGGACTTATTTGTGAAACAATTTTTTGTTTTAAACATTTAGTTTACCATTTTCATAGCCTTGGAATCAACGTATATAAAAATAGTAATGGAAGAAAGCGTATGTCACGAGTTTCACCACCTATACTTACGTCCAATTCTGTAGAAGAAGCCAAGCAACGTAACACAGAAGATGGAACTGAAGACGGGCCTGTCTATGGCCGCATACAACGCTGCCAACCACCGGTGCGGTTCTCGTGGCAAAAGATATCCGGAAAGGATCCACAGCAGAAAAGCTGGAAGACTTACTTGGTAGGCTATCCGGAACCACTGTAATATGTACATATTGACATTAGTGCCTTATAGCTACGACCAGGTTCTAGACCCACCTCTCTTGTTACAGGAATTAGGAGTGGCCTAAACAAGTTGAATAAAGTCAAGATAATCTTTCAAAACTCCTAATAGAAACTGTATCTAGAAAACACTTCTGTAGTTGCTCTTGCTAACCCGTTGTTTCCTCAAGTTGATGTCTTCACTTTGCAAGTTGCAGTAGTAAAAGGCGAGCAGGATTCCAAGAAGGGATGAGGGCAGGCTACCCCACGGAGACATGTACAGCCAGTTAAACGATGCCTCGCCGTAAAATAGCTTCATCACCGTTCTGAATGAGATACATTTACTCTATGATCAAAGTAATAGTTTCAGAGCAAAAAACTATATGCTTACGAGTTTGATTTTATAAGAGATTTTAATTTGAATGATAATTGCGACAGCGGTAGCTGAACTAGTTAGAAAGATTTTTACCATGCTTGTCTGTCCAGTTAAACTTGGGGTTCACTTAATAGAAGAAGGAAATAATATGCGAAAAATTAAGTTTTCAGGTTGAAAGTTACTGTTGAACACAGACGAGGTCATGTGCGAGTCGCTAGTCAGGCGAGAACTACTACTTCCTTTGAAGAAAAAATGAACCGCAATCTAGAACTCACTTGGGATCCGATAAGTACATCATAGCTTTCAAATTAAGAACATAAGCTGTGATGTAGTTGCAGATGACAGCTACCACCACGAGGCCCGCCAACACTTTGACAGCCGATTTCCTGAAGTGCGATAATACCATCGCTAGTACAATAGCCAACACGTACAATTGCATCTCCGCTGCGACGAACCTGAACAAGGAAATTCAAAAATTTGTAAAAGGACCACATGTGTTAAAACTATAATATTTTTTTTTATACAAAATTAAAAATTAACTTTTTTAAACATTCGCCACGTGACAAGAAACGCTGCTAATTGGTCGGGTTTCTGACGACGTCACTTGCTTACAAACTACCGTGCTATTGTTAAAACTGTTTTATTCTTTGCATTAATTAATAAATTTGAAACTCATTTTATTACTTCAATCACTGGTGTAGTGATTGCGCATGCATTCATACAAACCCATGGAGATTGTAGATCACATAATCGACATCCACCAATGACTTTCGGCGTTATTTCGCAAATTTAGCGTTTATGCGCGCAATTTAATCGTTGGATTTCCAATTTGATATATTTCAGCAATCAGAATCCAAAAATACTAAATAAAGTTCATTTTAAAAAATTGACAATTAGCCCATTATGTCACAACTTCCACATATCCTAAAGAGGAAGAGAGTCATCGCTAATAATATTACTCGGCGCTTATCTATGGCAAATTAAGGATGAAATCCTCACCAACTCTGCAGCAGGCACTGGTCTTCCGGCTTATATAGATTGTGAACGAAGAAGGCCTGCGACCACCACTTCATACGGCAGACACGACTCTCCTTTTCCATGCGTGGAATCCAGAGAGTTCCATCACCCAAGAAGCGGCTCCAAGTAGCGGTGAAACTAACGATGAACAGGTAGACTGGTAGAATCCTGGAATTATTTTAATTATGATCGTCCTGGGTCATAAATTGGGTAAAGATTCAAGGCATTTTTGTCACTAATCGTCAGTAATGAAGTCGCTGCTTTAGAAAACATTGGTAAAGCAAATACTTAGTCGCGGGTTCGAGTAGCAAGTTTTTTAATCTATACAAATATAATCTCAATGGTATAAATATTTTTATGCACAAATAATTAACGTTTGAAACAAATAAGTTGTGTATGCAACTTTTAGCCCTATTTACCTAGTAATTCTCTTTAGGAATAGCAGAACGAACACTTTGATGTCGAAGATCTTCTTCGGTTTCTCCATACCCGTCAGAAAGTTGTAAGTAAAGATAAAACTCGACAAAATTATGAAGGCCTGAACGACAATGGTGCCATTTTCCAGAATAATAGCAAATGGATTTTTACGTCCCTGTAAAAAATACAAATTTACACATTATTTACAGTACCAACGGTTTTCACTTTAAAAGTAATTTTTAGTCAAGTAATTATTTTCATGTATAACATGACATCGAATTGAATCGTCCACTACACTACCGAATACTTCTTGAGCATGTGTTAAATATAGGTTATAAGCATTTTCTGTAGTTTTAAATATGAGTTGACTTATTTTTAACTACGACTCATCTCTTTGGAAGCTTCACAGCAGCCATTGTTGCAGCCATCTCACATTTAAAAACCTTTTCATTTGAATGTATAAATTGCTTTAGAAGATAAACGAAATACTTACGAGTTCCAAAAATTGTGGATTGTACATGTAACTGATGTGAGACATAAATATTGAGTGAACGAGCATCACGCACATAAGTAATATAGACCTGAAATAATAATTAATATTAGTCATTTAATCCAATGCTCCTAATCCAAAATCAAACTTTTCGACTTTCAGTCGTTGAGCCTGTATTGTAGTAGCATTAGTATATATAGACCAAATGAGGCTTGGTGGATGTCTATTGCCGGAGAGTGGAAGGACTATTAGAAGAAGATAGATTATAGTGAGAGGTACAAGGTACATTTTTAATATCCTCGGTGCACAGCCGATCTACACGTTTCTGGGTTTGTCCTTCTTAGACGTAAAATACATGAAATTTTAGTAGGTACAATAGTGTCATTTAAAACATTTCATGGTTTATATTGCGGTATATCGCTTTAATCATTTTTTACTGCGACCCGACGTTTTGGATACTTTATATCAGTTATGGTAAGGGCTGTAGCTTTTTCGCTTAAACATTTCATTGTCTTTTATTCGACTGTGTACTGGTCGCATACCTAAATTAAAGCGATACTAACATTTTTGATTTGTGCACTTTCAATTGTAAAGTAATTTTATCATCTTGAACTTACTTGACGCCGTGGATGGCATTCAGTTTCGACGTTGGGGTGTCATCGTTGGGATAAATTCTTCCGAAGTTCTTGAAATTCCTCACAAAGGACCAAGACACTAGTATGCTGTTTGCTGAAAAGTTGATATTCAAGTATTCGTTACTATTCTTAGATAAAATGGATCTATTTCCTTATGCAATAATAACTTTTATTAAAAATTTATTTTTCAGCGAATTACGTTTACGAACCTTAGAATTCGGTTGTTTTCCTATAGGTAGCTTCCAATATGTATAGTAATCAGTAATAGTTTAATGAAATTATCAAAATTAACGACTCTATTTTGGTTTGAGCAACAGCACGGAACGCTGCCCATGCCGGTTCATACCCTGCCCGAGTAATGAATTTTTTTGAAACCTAAACTTTTCGGACAAATAATAGGAAAATATTCGTATTGTTATCTTAGTTAAATCATATTTGTCTATCTGTACCTACATTATATCTAAGGTGACTGTTTCTTATTATTTTTTACGTTAAATTGAAGTCGTCCTTTCTCATGCAGGCTATGTCGCAAACGCTAGTTAATCTAAAATGTAATCGATAATCAATATTCTTTAAGGAAGTTCTGTCACTTAATACAAAATTACAACGCAAAATCTGCCTAAGAACATAATATACAGTTCGAAAGGTTAACAATGAACTTTGACAACCTGACTCCGTCTACCAAGACGTGATTCTGAATTAATTAAAATCGCAAACAATAGATCCTCTATATTGTTCGTAGATGAAAAATTTAGTTTTTATTATCTTGCCCTCTTAACCCGTCCTTGTGTGGCGTGGAACTAGATATCACATGTTATTTTAGAAAAATTTGACGTTTATAGAGATTACTACTAGTTACAAGGTTATGTCACAGGGTTACAATAATCTGTACACTTAAGGTATATTTCTCTTTTATGTTAAATTTAAACAATGCCATTGGATTTAAACGTAATGGTTACAATGTTTCATTTATGACTAGCTGAACACCAAAATGTAATTACCATAAAAACGGTTCGTTTGAGTCTGAGATTAGCCCGTTCAAACAACGAAACAAACAAGCTCATTAGCTTTATAATATTAGGACAGATTGAGACAAGCAAGCATTCACTCGCAGGTGTAATACCCCAGCCATATAATATGTAGATAGGTGTGCTGTCGACGTACTTAAAGGCTTCGGATTTAAATGCAAATTACATCATTAAAAAAAGAGTAACTTGAAAACATGATATGGCTCCAATAAAAACAGTTTTGAGCGTTACAAAGTTTTTCTATATGGTATTGTAGTCGGAGAGGCCTTTCATTAAAAAATTGTTTTTAATTATCGTTTACAATCAGGCGATATATCTGTCCTCTCTTTCTTCCATTTACACAGAAACTATTTCACAAGTTTCAAGGTAAAGAGCAGAATTTAGAATTAAATTTTTTTCGCAAAAAAAAGAAACAAAGCGTCCTTCATGTAAGAACACGTTATTTATGTAAATTTGGATTACATAAGTTTTTTCTTTACATAATATGTGAAGTTCATGAGTGATTATGAAATAATGATTTTTGACCTTTTTTTAACGTATCATAATAAGCGCGGTACCAACAACCAACTAGTACTTATTGTAATTAGCTGCAATATCTAAATAATTACAATACTACCTAAGTAATTACTTTTCTATAAAGGTATTTCGGGCTGTTCGGCCGATGTGAGCGAGAAGAGGTTCTCGACTTCGCCATCACGAGATGTTGACTCCGCATTTGCTCGAAGAATTGTATCATAATTCTTCGAGCGATCTACAACGGCCGAACAGCCCGAAAGACAATGATATGCTGAACGATGGCCGTGAAAGCCTTCAATTATTTCAAATACATATCTTGTTTTACCTGACTATAAGATATTATTTCATTTCAAAGAAAATGCTGTAGACTCGTTATTCTAGTTTTTTCGGATTTTCCGCTTAGAAGTCACTCGCGTAATTAGCTTGATTGATTGATCGGGTTCAACTAAATGTAAAAGGGAAGATTTTAAACTGTCGTGTTCCACTTATTAAGTGGAATGTCGTTCGCTTATTATTATGTAGTTATAATAATTGTACGGGCCTTATGTTGTTGTCGTCGACATATTTTTCCATTTCGAAGACTAAAATATCGTCCATTATTTTAAGGATTTCCCTATGCGTCACACTTATGGTTGACACTGCTTCTACTTGCATTACATGATATTAAAAGCCGGTTTTATCAACAATAATGGGAACTGAGAAACGCAAGCCTGCGAAAATTTAAAATCTTATTGTTGTTTTTATTAAATAGCCGTAATTAAAACGTTAAAAAACTTATGTTTAAATTGACTTATAAATATAAAATATTTTAAATTATATAACATGAAAGGGTAACATTTATTTTTGTAGTGATTAATTAATATACACTATATTACATACACAGTTATCAGAGAAACAGACAATCATCTTCACAAACATTCTGATAAATGAATTAGTAGAATATAAGGTATTATGTTTTTGTAAACATGGTTGTAAACATAATAAATATTCCATAAAAAGTACTTAACAATGATTTAAAATAATTACTTATTAATATAAATTGATCTTGTAGTTTTTGTTTGTCAATAATGTTCATATAATGACGTCAATAGAACGTTAAGCTTTTTGTTTTGCTTCGAAGCTGAACCGAATGCACCTGCCCTGCTTGCTATTATATTCTTAAATATTCTCACTGCCATACATCTAGGTTACAAATAAATATTAGAAAAAGACATTAAATATTTAAATAAAACATTTTAACCGCTTAAAACGCGATGTGTTAAACTTATTTGATAATAATTTTCAAAATTTTCCGTTAGTGTTTTATTTAAATGTGTACTCTGCTCCCGTAAACTACAGTCAGTATTTCATTAAATATTTTATCATATCTCCGCATATTCTTTTGAGATTCTAGTACTAAAATAAAAAAAAATGTACCTTTATTACTACGGTTCCTGCAGACATCGTAAACTGTACCAGTTACGTTCAAGAGAAGTAACAACAGGCAGACCACTAGAAAAGTGATGTCCACTCCATCAATAGGCGCAGCCCGAAGTGTCTCCGCTGACTTACAGTAGTCCAGCTGGATGAGGTTTGCTTTCAAACCGTACTGTGAACTGTGGGTGTTTAAAAGTTCAGAATTCACATTATAATAACATAAGTCTTGTTACTAGTTTACACTAGCAGTGCACATTTAAATCAAACAGTTTCAACGGTTTAAAGCTATATATTATAATCTTTAATTCGTTTGATATTACGACCGACGACGTTCCAGATGTTTTACAGCAGCTGTGGTGTTGCCCTGGTAGATAAGTTAACTAGAATAATTCGCGCTTTGAACGGTTAAAACTGTTTTATTCAAATGAATGATTTAATTGACGTAACATTGTAGACCTCGCCGTGGATTCGATATGTCCCGTGAATGTAGATGTAGAGGTGTTTGTATAAATAACATCAACATACTTTTTGAAGAAATATGTATTACACGCGAACACATTTCTGTGCCCATTTCAGTTATCGGTTATTTTACAGGCAAGTAATTGATTAGACATTTGCATTGCCCGACCGAAGCGATGTGTTATTAATGAGAATAAAAACACGCCTATTCTGTCGTAAACTACAGACATTGTAATGTTAATAGATTTGAAATATAAGTTCAACCATATTTATTAATTTGTACCACCCAATATAATTATATTCTGCTTAGAGAGAGAACGCAAAATCTTACATAGACTGGTAAATATTGTTTACAATTACTATTGTAAACAATTGTTTATTGCATCGAACTAGTATTAAAAATGTCTTACACATTTCGTGTCATTATACCTGGTGTAATCGTTGACGCATTGCTGAAATCGATTTTGTGGAGGCAGGTGGAGAGGTGTGCTTGCGCAGGTGGTTGTGATGCAGTAACCCCGATGCAGTTGGGTGTGGTTGAATCGGTATCTCGGCGCAGTGTACGCCTGATACAAAAATATATTATTATCAATGATGATGATTTATTTATTTATTTACAACAATTAAAACGGCAATAGCCAGTTACATTAATTGGAAAATGATAACGCTGATATCTTTACAAACCTCCCCCTGTGGGGCATGGGCTAAATTGATGAATTTATGTTCTTAGACCTGTTCCCGCTCAAACAAAATTATTTATTGTTTCATGATTTGAACCTAGGACATTTGAGCATAATGCATCGAGTCGACGATGTTATGCTTAATACGTTTAGTGAGTTTAGGTTTCGATAGATTAAGGATGATAAAGGTGATTAATGTTTTAAGTGTTGCCTGGAAGAGATCGCTCTATAGCGATAAGGCTGCCCATTGCACTCTATAACTGGTGAAAATAATGTATCTTTAAAAATTGTATTATTAAGAATATTTTAAGGAATCATGTATATATACGTTGTGTTTGTAAGTGTTGCAATGAAGAATTAAATAAATAAATAAGTGTATAATAAAACACTGGCCCGAGTATATTGTTTGAGTTAGTTTCCGCAATTGGTTGTCGATTTTAATTTAATCGAATCAGTAAAAAATTTTATCAATAAAAAAGTACAATTCCATAAATTCGAAAGTGTTTATTTGTGCCACCTGAATGGTTACTTATAATCTCACCAGAATAAGCTCATAGATTTCGTTTGTGTTAGTTCCGTTGTCACTCGTGGAGTTACCAATAACAGGGCTCAGTTGGAAGGATCCAAGACAGAAGGTTCCCTTTGTCGCCAGGCATGCCTCGTAGTCGTCCAAGTGGAACAGCGGTGGCATGGAGTAGTAGAGTTCATCTGATATAGAAAACAAGATTTTAGTACGAACACGTGAAGGAAACGATCACGTATGGCAATGTATGTTAACTAGCTGTGCCCGCGACTTCGTCCGTGTGGAATAGTGACTTGGGGTAGAATTTTTAATTATTTAGGCTGTTTATTAATTTATGTAAGGGCGCATTTAAGGCAAGTGTCTTTGTCCCCTTCGGTTCCAGTCTTTTCATTTTTAAATAACCTAAGCCAACATTAACATGTCAACAGAGAATCGTGATGGAACGGGAAAAGCGACCAAGACTTATGAAGAGCAACCGAAGCGATGGTTCGTATTAAGATTAGAATTATATTTCACTTCGATTATTACAAATGAATTGGAACTTGGAATAACAATTATTTTATCAAATGTTATTGAAAACGTACGAGTGAGGCTGTAAAAACAATAAATACTCAACGACAATAACAATTCATAAAAACGGTTCTAATATTCCATAGATAAACTATTAGAATATACGAGAAGGAAACGAATCTATTCACTTATCAATGTGACGTTATAAACGAGGGTTGAGTAGTAAGGGATAAATAAAAATACATATAGTCGGAGATTTTTTTGAAAGAAAAAAAGTACTAGAGTAACTATAAGATAGTTATATATATAGAATATCTGATATAGAAATAGACATTCAACATGAATTAAAAAAATAGTAGATTATCAACACTTGCGTCACTAGCAGCGTCCCTAAAAAGACACATTATAAAATATCAAAGAGTTTTAAATACTGTCTATAGTTTACGCGAGTAGTACACATTTAAATAAAACACTTTACCGGTTTAAAACGCGATATATTAGTTAAACTGATTTGAAAATGATTTTTAACTTCGGCCCGACGTTTCGGATGCTTTGCAGCAGCCCCGTGGTCCCCGTGACCACGGCGGCTGCACTGCTGCTGTGTTTTATTTAAATCAAAGAGTTTTACCCGGTTTAGTCCACAAGGGATATACACGAGAAGAATAAGTACGTTTTCCAGAATATAAATAATATTAAAAACATATATATTTGCCTTATTAATCATTAATTAGCACAATGTAATGTTTTATTAAAAATGTTGAAAATATAACTAATTTTCATGTCTATTTTCGTGTGGGATGCACTGGCCATCGGCAAAACTGGCCAAAGATTTCCTGCCTACTCCGAAACTTCACCGTCTGGACCAAATTATGTGTATTTAGAATGTCTGAGGTTTGAGAATGGCGAAGCAAATCATCTTATCAATTAATGCATTTTCGTGATTATCCTTAACAGCAAATTATCACGTTTTTAACATCAAATAAGTAGTAAGTAATAGCACGATTTGTAATATTATTTTTTAAACATATTTAAATTAACACGGAATTGAAATGGTGAATTATTTAACGCAATAACAATAAACATATTTTTGAATTGCGGTTACTGGAAATTTTCCATGTAGATCAATGTTATTATAATATTTTTTCTTATTTGTAATGTTTTCTCGCATTCTTGTATTACTAAAAAAAACTTGACGTTTCACGCGAGCAGTGTTATATATCATGCAGGGGAAATAACAGCGACAACTACACATATCCAAATTTAACTACAATTATGACAATTAAAATATTAATTTAATTGTACATATGAATTATTATCAACCTTTTAAAAAGGTTTTTTATGGACATTTTATATTGTAATGCATGTGTGTTTGTTTAGATATTAAATATTATTCTTTACTAATGTGCTGAAAATATTCAAGAAATGTAAATTGGTACTTTAAAAGTAACAAATTTTTAAAGTATGCACGATTTTGACGTTTGACAGTATTCAATATGGCGGTATGTACAATTATACGGCAAAGCTTGTATCGGCTAATTTTAACCACATATAAAATCTTTAGGTCCTTTTGGGCCATCGCAACAAAAAAATTTATAGAATTCCCGGAAAAAAAAAAAATCGTGTCAACGGGGGATATGGGGAAGGTCCCCAAACAAACTTATTTATTAACGTTTTTTTTTTTTAAAAAAAAAAAGGGGGGGCAAAAAAAACCGGGCGGGGGCCCGAAAATAAAAAAAGGGGGGGGGGTTTCTTTTTTTTTTTTTTTTTTTTAATTTGGGGGTGGTTAAAAAAAAAAAAAAAAACAAAACCGAAACCGGGACTCCCATTTCCCAAACCTTTTAAATTTTTTTGAGAAAAAAAAAAAAAAAAAAAACCCCCCCCCCCTCCC